AGGTGCCCACGCTCATATCCTCAACACTTGCAGCGGAGCGGAAGACGGGTACAGCAGGCATGTCAAACAATGACAGGGCCAGTGGGACCATTTGGGTTCTGTTTCGGGATGACTGTGGAATAACATAGAAAGGGTTTGCTTAAAAAATACAGTCTGAGCATTTATGGTGGGGGTGATGTCCGCAGTATCTCATTGTTTTGGGTGTCTCAGTAGATTCATTTCAGCGGATTCATTTATTAATTTTCCTCATTTTGTTGCAGCAATATTCAAAAATCAATGAGTGCCCCCTGGCTGAATCAGTCCATCATATCACTTTTTGCCTCAGGTAAAAGAGGTCTTCAGATAGAGTGCATTAATTACTTTTACACCAGCTGCATCCACATGTAATGTAATGACTCAGCTATAGAGACTTGAGCTCGGTCCAAATGGCGCCTGGTTAAAACAATGCCTGTGCTTGCTTATGCTCTCTGGGTCTGTTATAACATCACCCTTGATTTCACATTACTAATTCTGGAAGTAGCTCCTTGTATTGCGTCGCCATATGGGGTGCTGAATTTTGGACATCTACAATAATGATATGATTAATTAGGTGATTTGACCTTGTTTTATGCATGAAATACTGAAAAGGGCAGCAACCGATCCTTGTGCCCAGCAGCCTGTGTGAAGCACTTGGTGAAACATTTACTGTACATGGCTTAGTTTACTTCAGCTTCCTCACATTTAAATTTATTTCAGCCACTTTTTAAGTCCCTGAATGTGCTAAAAGGGCCTGTGTGAAAATTATTAGGGGTGTCAGCAAAGTGGCAGAGTTGTGTGTTTTTTTATTTTTTTTAGAGGAAGACAGGAGAGTTTGTGAGAGAGCAAAAATTCATTTACTGTTTGATGGCTTTTCCCTCCGCAGTCAGCCAGCTAATAGGGCAGATAGGTCAATTATAAGAAGCACGGAATGCATGGACTATTTTTTATGAATATTATGTTATTCCTCCCATTAGTTGTCCCTTCCTTCACATTAGTCTGCAAGTTTTAAAATGTGAAATGTGTCAGAAAGTTGGCCAATATTCTAATATTATAAATCAAGTATAGCCTTTAATTTAGCGTCTCTTCATTCTGAAATATACATAATTTTGTTGCGTTTGCCATACATTTCAAATTAGCTAATTTCACTTCTTATGTACGCATTGTAAAACTTAGCTGTCCATTAGTGTATTGAGATTTAAATGACATTACACCATCATAAATTGTTTATACTTTGTTTTTGTTTTTCTAGTTTTTAAAGGTCCAGTGTCTGGGCTTTAGGGGGACATATTGGAAAAGAAATTGAATTTAATATGCGTAACTATATTTTAACTGGGTAACTAAGAATTGCTGTGTTTTTGTTACCTTAGATCTGTTCATATCTACTTCTACAGTTGCCCAGAATGGCTAAACCAAACACTGGCTCCTGACAGGACAGGACAGGACGATTCTGCGTGGGCCACAATAGTTTTAGTTGGCTGCCATCTGCAACCTCACCACTAGATGCCGCTAAATCCCACACACTAGATCTTTAATAGTGAAACAAGTTAAAACAACGGACTATATTTTTGAGATATTGTCAAGGGAAGGGTACAAAAGATATATTAATAATGCAGAGGTTTGTGAAATATAAGATTCAACCTCTCCTCCCCATCCCAGTATTTTTCATTTTGCTCCATGTTTTATACATTTATACTACTTTTCCAGCTGTACACAGTATGCAGTCACTACCGTGTATCTCCAATGAAATGAAACTACTTCAGCTTTATAACTTCTGTCCAGGTTGGCCAAAGTGGTCAGGCACATGATGACTCATGATCAGCTTTAACCATGGTGAGACTCCAGAGACTGTGATGCTTCAAGAGTAAATCTGGCTTCAAAGTATTTAAATTGGCATGGTTTCCACTCACAGATCAGGCTTGCATTCGTCGAGAGCCTGAGGTGCTTTTTGGCATATGAATAATTCAGCCATGATGTAAAATAATTGACAGATTTTGCAAATGATTTACAATGATATGGATCCTTAAGTTGCTTTTGAAAAGCAGAAGCTATACTATGTTTATACTTATATAATTTAGAGAACCACAAATGTACGAGGTGTATGAATAAAGAGATAGTTGCAGTTTTTAGGACTTAAGGGAAAAGCATACTTTATGTCTGATGGTCAAAAATAAAAGGCATGAGAGACGTAGTGCGCCATGTTTTCATTTATTTAAAGTAAAGTTTTGTTTCCTGTCTGCAGCCTGTGCTAACAAATGATCCAAAACACACAGTGCTTGTCAAACAGACATGATGTGATGTACCGTTTGAAGCAGACTCCACAGCTATTGAGACCTCCTAGTCTGACCTAGGGCGATGTATTTTTCCACCAGGCAAAGAAGACCTCCTCAGCTGTTTGGGTGTCAGAACTCTCACTCTGTATTCTCATTGTACAACTGCAGAATGTCAAAAACACTCATAAAAACTCAGTCTTATATACTGTATCAGAGCTCAGGCAAACTGGAATACATATTTTAACTTTCAGGTCAATGGACCCTTTGGCAGGTCCATCAATATGACTCATGCTGTGTGGACAAGCTCTGTTGCAACCCACAAAAGTTTGTTTTTAAATTCTGGTCAAGGGGCAAAGGTTTCCAAATATGTTAAATATTTTGCACAAAATTAAAAGGATGTGCAATAATTTTTCATTCATCCAGGCAGCTTGGATTTGAATATCTGGCTCAGTGTGCAGTCAATGCTCTAGAGCAACACATGATGTACAGTATATGAGGTATCTAAAGGAGAATATTATATTATCTGTAAAATATACCTATTATCGCTGAAGTAAAACAGTCATGAATTATGAAAGCACAAATTATCATTTTCCTTCTCTCCCCTCAAACTCCTCTAGGTGACAGTGGAATATACAGTACGCAGCCAAATTAATTACAGGCTTAAATCCCTCCGGAATTCTCAAAAGCTGTGCCATTATATTATTATCATAGCAAATTATCATTTGCTAAGTTTGTTAATTATCACCCTGTCGGCTGATCATATCCACATCACATCTCGAGTCTGAGATCTTGTGCAATTGGATTAACTTACACACAGAGTATGAAAAGAATTTACGCCTGCACTCGTGTTGAGAGGCGATGCACACCAACTTTGATTTCTGAGAACATCATGATTGAGAAGATTAATTTAATGACAGGATAATGTGGCTGCTGTCAGAACTTCTTTCAATATTTAAAGCAATGCAAGAAGCTGTCAGTGATTTTGAAACACGTCTTGAAACACTTGTGATCCTGGCAAGAAAAATTGCTTCAGTGTGTTTGCATAACATTTCAAAAGATGAGATGAGAGAGACGTGCCACATATTGGCTCATCAGGCATGCCATGCCACAAACACTGATCATGGGACATTATCTGATCAGTTGTGAGGTACTGCTCATGGTAAAGGGTCCTCGCCAAAGAGATATTAAGTCGTTGGACTGTTAGTGTCATTGTTGATGGAGTAAAGATGGTAGACGCAATCAACAGTCAAATTTGTGAGTTGTTAAGTAAGTAGAAGATGGACTGATCTGCAAATGGCATGAAGTTAAAGATCAGTGTATTTTTTTTGTTTGTTTTGTATAATATTACAGTGAAAAAATGAAAGCAGCACCATGTAAAGTTTGGGCACCCCAAGATATTTGAGCTCTCAGACATCTTTTAACAGGGTCTCACACCTTAATTAGGAAAGGCCAGGTGATTCAAATTTCAAAGCTTTATAAATACACTGACTCCTGCAACCTTGTCCCAATAAGTTCAGATCTGGAAGACCAAGAATACTTTTTTAGAGAGCTGCTCATAGGATTCTAAGAAAGGCAAATCAAAACCATCGCTCGATTGCAAAAGACCTGCAGGAAGATTTACCAGACTCTGGAGTGGTGGTGCACTGTTCTACTGTGCAAATATGACCTTCATGGAAGAGTCATCAGAAGAGAACCTTTCCTGTGTTCTCGCCAAAAAATTCAGCATCAGGCGTTTGCAAAGTAACATCTAAACAAGTCCTGTGGACTGATGAAGTAAAATCAAACATTTCGGATCCAATGAGCAAAGGTATGTTTGGAGAAAAAAGGGTGCACAAGTTCATGAAGTGAAAACCTGTCCATCTGTTTAACACAGGGGTGGATTGATCATGCCTTGGGGTTGTGTTGCAGTCAGTGGCACGGGAAACAATTCCAGTGATTCCTGCTAATTCTGGAAGCAAACATCACACCATCTGTATAAAAAAAAATGCTGAAAATGAAGAGAGGATGGCTTCTACAACAGGACAATGATCCTAAACACACCTTGAAATCCACAATGGACTACCTGAAGCTGAAGGTTTTGCCGAAGCCCTCACAGTCCTACAACCTAAACATCATCTCAAATCTGTGGATAGATCTCAGAGGAGCAGTGCATACAAGACGGCCCAAGAATCTCACAGAACTAGAAGCTTTTTGCAGGAAGAATGGGTGAAAATCCCCCAAACAAGGACGGGCAGACTCATACCTGCATACAAAAAGTGTTCAGAAGCTGTGATACTTGACAAGGGGGATGCTACTAAGTACTGACCATGCAGGGTGCCCACACTTTTCCTTCAGGCCCTTTTTTGCTATTTTGAAACTGTAAAAGAAAGAAATAAAAACTTGGGCTAATGGATTTACTTGTTTAGTGGGAGTACTTCACATGCCTTCAGGGAAAACAGGAATTATATAGATTTGATGACTAATTTGGGACCACGTAGAATAACAGCAAATCTATATCATAACATCCGTTTACAAACTTTCACACTTCTCGTGCAGTATAATCTAAGTCTTATTTATCCAGTCGTATGCTCAATACTTCCCAAACACAAAACTTCTCTATGTTCACTTCACAGCCGGACTTCAATACTTAGATTTTTGTTTGTCCTACACAAGTTGAACCTCTTGAACGCACCCTGGTCCTCTACAGGAAGTGGACTGACGCTGGCGCGTTTGTTGAAAACAGACGTTGTTGACATGACACCTGCGAACAACCGCAGAGTAAACTATAACTGACAAGCCTCGGATATTGATGAAGCTTTTATACGTGTTTTTTACACAGGGGGACGCAATATACTGAACATGGAGTTATCGCAACTTATAAAGAAAATAGGTAACGTTAGGCTAACTTATTAGCTAAGCAAACTTAGCTTAGGGGGCTGACTCTACCTGAAGTGATGTTTAAACCCACTTACCTAATGTTAACTGCTTGCTTGCTAACGTTAGCTAACAATAGAAACCCTCTCTATGTGTACTTCTTTTATCTGTAACTATAACTTTTGTATGAAGAGTTGTAATTATTGTTAACGCTAACGTTAGCTTCGTAACTTAAGTCTAAAACTTTTCTGAACGTCCACCCAAAGTTAGCTAGCTGTTAACTAGCTAAAAACGCATCGTTGCTAACTCTCTCTATATATAATGTCTGTACTCGTTTTAATACGTTGTTTTCTGTAAACTCCAGGCCACTCTTTGGCGGAGATAAGAGTCCGAGCATTGAAGAGCATCATATGCAAGCTGGACCATTCACTGATCTCCGTCTCTGACATCGTCCAAGAGAAGATGCTGTTTGTGTATCTGCTTGAATGGTTCAATTTCCCTGAGGTGCCAATGCAGGAGGAAGTTCTTGGGTTGCTCTCAACTTTGTCAAAGGTAGGTACATTTCTGATCAGATGGTAGATAATAATACTGGGTGAGTCCTCTGGTGGACAGGGGTAGAGAGATGAATACTGTCTATATGTAACTACTGATAAACTTTAAATGTAATTTTGGCTTTGGCTTCAGCCTTTCTTTAACATGGCTAAGCATACCTGAACCAGTCAATTTAAGTAGTGTCAATATTTGCCTTTGAATAATATATAATGTGATCCCTTTTTGTGGCACCTCACACATATACATTGTACTTAAAGGTCTAGTGTGTAGGAGAAAGGAGGATACATTGCCTGAAATGGAATATAATAAGTGCGTTTTCTTTATCGTATAATCACCTGAAAATGAGACTAGTAGTGTTTTTGTTACCTTAGAATGAGCTGTTTATATCAACATAGGGAGTGGGTCCTTATCCACAGAGATAGCCATGTTGCACCCCCATGTTCCTACAGTAGCCAAGAACAGACAAACCAAACGCTGGCTCTAGATAGGGCAATTCGCATTTTCATGTCAGCCACTGTAGTGCTGAGCAGTGTCGGGAAAACACAGATTCTTTTTTACATGAAGCTGATTTATTCAGTGGGTTTAAATCACCTGGGGTCTCATTTATACACATTTCGTACTTTCCATGCAAAAGTTGTGATTTATCAAAACAGACTTGATGGGAGAAACTTTGACCCACACATACAAACATTTTGGAGACAGGAAATTGGCGATGCAGATGGTGAGGTGGAAGCCTGATTGTAGATATTTTTTGGCACATGCCATTTTTGGCTTTTATCCATATGCATATTTTTAGTATGGATATAAAGTAAATTAATGAGACCTCACATAGTTTGTTTTGGAGAGGAAGAGACCTCTGCAGATAATTCCGCTCTTGCTAAAAATCTCCTTTTTTCTCTGAAACTCTTAAGTTATCAGAGAAAAATGGGGAGCACACATTAGTAGATGTGGGCTAGTGGCCAATCTGCAACGAGCCGAACAGCGTAGGAAAAACACCGACTTGTAATGTGAAACTGCTTTATTCAGTGTTCTTACCGTTTTTTAATCACCTGGTTTGTTTGTTTTGGAGAGGAAGAGACCTCTGACAATAATTTGGCTCCTGGTAAAAACCTCCTGAACAATGAAAACTAAGGGAATTCTAACCAGGAGAAGTGTCAGCTGGTTGCAGTTTGCAGTCCCCACCACTAGATGCCACTAAAGCCTGCTAAATCTCACACACTGGACCTTTAAATATTAGCAAGGGCATAAATGCAGTGAGATTTCTCCAGTGACACTTTGTAGCAACACTCATGCTAAGTGTTTTAACACTTCTACACCAAACATTACACTGAAGCATAAATTTTTCATTTCATGCTTCTGTATTTTGGCATTTTGTCTTCCAAAGCATCCTAGTGCAGCCCAGATGCTGAGAGACGTTGGGGCGGTGGACTTCCTCACTCAACTGTCTCCTAATGTGGAGCCCAGACTGCGAGCTGTCATCGATGGAACCCTGGACCAGCTGTTCCAGCTACCTGAGCTACTCCCTAGTCATATAATGGTCTACTCGCATGGACAGCGTACTACAGCTCCAACAGGTGTTGCAAGTTGAAGCCAAATGAATGTTTGTTTTGATTGTGTCTTCCTCAAAGTACTAAATGTTTATAATCTCGTGTAAGAGTCAGAGAGAGGTGAAAGAGGGTGGTGTGCATTGTTATGAAATAGTAGCAGTATATGAACAAACATTTTGTTAAATCTTGTGTCTCTGCTTCAGCACCTGCAGTTGTTCTACCTGAAGAGCAATTTCCTAAAATGGGCTTTTTCCACAAAAGCATACCAAGCCACACAGATGTACCACCTCAGAAAATAGCAGGTACTGGTACTTTAAATACTCACCCATAGATCTCTTAGTGTGCTGGGTTTCATCTTTCATCTTGAATTTCACTCATACTTTTGTCCAATGCACACAGTACATTTTTTTAATAAATTACCCATTTGACATTTGTTATCCCTCTGTGTTGTGCAGTGCACGAGTCTGTGAGATGCCTCAAGTTTTCTGTGTTTCCATGGCTGACTTTGACAAACACAGACAGACACATACTTTCATCCAATGAGAGGTGAGAGACAAAACATGTGTCTTACAAATAATTTATGCCCAGCTAAATGTATTGCTAATTAACAAAATGATGATTCAACACAGAAAACAATTTATCAGAGAACAAGATAACCAGACGAAGAAGCAGTCTGTGCCAGCTTTTGGATCTTGACAGTTTTTGAGCTTGAAAAAGATGCATGATAGATTTAATTTAGTTGTTTTCTTTTCACAGTGTTTTTTCAACTTCAGTAGCATGCAGTGATGTTAAATTACTGAATATTAAATGGTAAGTAAACATATCTTCTTTAATTCTTTTGAAACAGTTCTCTAAGGAGCAGCAACCCCAACTTGGTGCGGACCACATGTGAACTTCTGTGTGATGTCATTATGCAAGATTTTCCTGCTGAGATCTTCCTGCAAAGGCCCAGTATTATAAAGGTATCATAAATGTTCTATCAGTAACAGTAGTATTGTTAATGTGCATATGTTCATGCATAGCTATACTGAAATATTTTAAAAATATGAGCAGAAAGATCAAACCTAAAATTATACCACAAACACAGTGTGAATAAGTGGTTGCAGTTCCCATTATTTACGGTCGTAGGTTTGGGCTCACACTAACAGTAATGTTAGAATGTCCGCCATTTTGTATTATTTTTTTTAGAACCAATCGGTTTCTCCTGCATGTTTCAGTGTCAACATTAAAGGGATGAATTGCTGATAAGCAGCCAGCTTTGTACTTTAACTGTGGGTAGTATGTGTAAATACCAGTGCCCAGATCTCTCTGCTCATCTCTCAGCTCAAATCTGCGCTCTAGGGTTGTTGATTGAATGGGTTGTACTTCTGCAATTTCATATGCCCACCACCCAGGATATAAAGAGCATAAATGCGGATCCTCCCCTCTCTCAAATGTTGACCAAACTGAGATCAAATGGTAAAACTTAGCAGTGCTCATCAAATATAAACCAAGATTCTGTTACAGTTTTGCTTATGACTCGCCTAAAATGCTTCCAGAAACATATTTTAGCTTTTGTTTGTTTTGTTTGTTAACACCTGGCTGTCGTAATGTTTCCTGGGTCAAAACTGCCACACCGGTTATGTCACCCACCAGCTGGAGCGTTTATTGATCTGGAGCAGTGCTGTACATTCTTTGTAGTTGTAGGTTATCTACCTCTTGAGCAAAAGCGAACACAGCAGCCCTTATCCTCTGTTTTCTTTGGTCATGTAGCACCCATTTCAGAGTTATTTGCTTAATTCTACTGCATAGACAGACCAGTTTTATGAAAAGTCCATCTTTCCGGCAGTTAAGTACTTATTTAAGGGTGTACTGAGCTCAAGTTAAGTATGTAATTAAAAACAAATCTTTCATTAAGTTGAGTTTTTAATAGTTTCAGCACTCTGGAGCAGGACATTAGAATGGCCATCAGCCCCATCATTTTAACTTAACAAGATGTATGAATTTTTTGTCACTCTCAGTGCTTATGGAAGACATAAGCCTTTACTGGTTTGACTAAAAATGGTGGCTTGTCTCTGACCCTAAAATTTCTCAATGCTTGATTTAACATGCGTCTCCATGGAGACAAAATTCAAGATGTTACTAAAAGTATTCCAGGGTTTGTTTATTTTCTGCTGGTTCTGGGATCAGCTGTTCATCATGTTTAGTCTTGTTGTTTATTCACATCAAAACAACGTGTGTTATTTTGAGTGGCTGGCGCGACCATCCCATAATGGAATTTGTGGGATGGTCACTCAAGCTACTGTCAAAATAATAACCTGTCAAATGGCGTCCTTGAACAAAACACCAATTTATAATTCTGTGTCCCTGATCTTGGAGGAGGTTGTGGAGGCCCCTGGAGGCTTACTTTGCTTGAGCAGGCACTAGATTGCTGTGAGGATATAGCTTGGTCATGATGTACCTCTTGAAGGGATTGAAAGTCCTTGATAAAATGTGTTGCCTCTTTCCTCTACTGGCCTCCTTGGATAGCAGAGATTCTGTAAATGTGGTCCAAGTTGTCTGCAGGCACTGTTGGCTATGGAGGAATCTAAACTGTCCTGTGTTGCAAATAAAAAAGTTGATGTGCTTGTGTCAAGTTAGTTTGTACTGTAGCTGAATTCATATGGGGCCGACTGATGTAAATCTACAGTGAACTCCATCTTTTTTTATGTTCAAGAGATATGCTCTCTCTTCCCATCTTTGTAAAAAAAATGGCCTGCACATTTTTATGTATCTGCCCGTATCATGTCAGCAACAAAGTGCATCTGTTATGAGAGCTCTTCATTTCATTGGCATAGACGGAGTGTTGGAGGAGACATCATTTTGCCCCGATGAGCCACTGTGAGCATTACTATTTTGTTAATAAAGTGGTGCATTATGTTACATCGGTCTCAAGGCAGTATTAGCATACTGTCACCCAGCAGTCTCATCATCCAAAAGAAATCATTATGGGGAAAGTGCTCTTCTTCTTGTGGCTTTACTTGGCCCTCCTTTGAGTTACTAGAGCTATTAAGCTAAATTAAAAGACTTGGATTTAGAGACATGACATCATTAGCTGCAGAGGGCAGGGAATCTGAACTTGGAACAAATTGTTGCTTCAATAATTCAATTGAGCTTGCCCTTTTTATTTGGCGAACTTTATTGCAACTTTTCTATCACTGTCCTAGTTTCGGCCCCCTGTTGTTGTGCATTGTTTGCCTCAGCTCAGGCTCTGGTTTTTCTGTTTGTAAACAGAGCCACAATGAAATATCCGCATTGGATGTTTGTGGTTGTTAAAGATGTAATCCGAAAACCTCTCCATAACTCACCTTCATAGTAATAAAACTATTCTGATGTCCCCTTGTGTTTCCAGAACCTCCTCTCCCTGTTGAGGCTGGGTTCGGGTAAAGGTGAGGCAAGCTACCTCCACTTGCAGGCTCTCTCCTGCCTGCGGCAGCTTTGTGTGGGCCTAAGGAGAAGACTCCGCTTTCATCAGGATCCAAGCTTCTACTCTACAAAGCAAGGTAGCATGCCTTATGAATTGCAGCTTGTGAATTTTTGGATGCTTATCTGGTTAGTTTACACGTTTGTTTTTACTAAAGTACATTTGTAACAAATTTATGTATTTGGTCGCAATGTGGCGCTCCTATACTTCAAATGACCAATTTCTAAAGCACCACGCAAGACCTACACTGTTTTACATTTAATTAAAGTAGATGTAACAGCTATAGCTATCTAATCCTGCTGATTAATTTCTTACAATAAAGAGTTTGTAAACACCACCATTATAATATTTTCTTGGCTTAATCAAATGTACAAGGATGTCCTCTTTTTTCTTTTTTGCGGCTGTGTAGATCCAGTGTCCCAGAACTCGTCTTTCTCCCACTCCCAAGAGGTGCGGGGGACCCAGCGTTCCCAGGCCTCATCTCCAGGGGCTGAGTGTTCCCCTCGGCCCTCTGTGGTGGGACGCAGAGGCCAGAGAGCCAGAGGAGACGGCCAAGATGGAGATGCAGCTTCCACCAGGTATGTATGTGTAGCTGTGCATTTTCAACAAAGTCTGAAGGAGATTATAGAAGACGCTGCACTACTTCTGGTACATTGCTTCTTGCTGTTCTTGCTGTCTAAGGTATTTTTTCTTTGCATGTTTTGAGTCATCATGTTGGCAGTGAGAGCAGAGATTCATTCAGTCTGGCTTCTGTCACACTTCTGAGGCACAAGTGGTATTATGTTCGTCTGCCTCCCTTGCTTGTAGAAATAACTTTTTGATACGATTCAGCAGTGTTGTCAATTCTGTTCATCAGACCTCACTCCTACTTTTTAGGAATTTGTGCACAGTGGGATTTTTTGTGGCTTTGATAATGACAAAATTGCCAGTGACACCAGCAACCCGCACACAAAGATAAAACAATGTGTGAAAGACTGTGGAGGATTTTATTATTCTTTTTTAGAAATAAAAAAACACCAGGAGCCCTCTAGCGGCCGGTCTACAGTGTTTAAAAATCAGTTCTGATTCCCGTGATGGCAGTTTTTAAGATCCATCCCTATACAGCTCATACGTCACTCCTTGTATTTGAGTGGTCTGAATTCGGATCATGAATTTACAGTGGTCTTTCTCTGCCTGTCTCTGATTCATCCAGTGGCAGCTCGCACAGAGGTGGAGCAGCAGTCCAGGCCCCTGGGCAGACGCCCCAGTCACCCGCAGATGTGGCCCACTTGGAGCTTCCTGACCTGGGTGTAGAAGATGTCCTGGAGCTGCAGTTACAGCAGCTCACTTTGGCTCAGTTCACAGTGGCCACCATGGAGCATGCCATACCTCTACTTAAAACAGGTAGGAGTCGTTGCAGTCTTTTATGTAAAGGGGCGGAAAAGATTTTGTAAATTATATAAATCAGTTGGCACAATCTGTTCTTTTTGCTCGAGTAAAGATCAGATACTGCACATATCCCCTCACCTGTTCCCCTACATTGACTATATTCTATCATTATTTTGATCCTGTCAAAAAAAAAATCTCCCCTGCTCTTGCTCAGTTTCTCTCCTCCTCTCTTCTTTCTCAGAGGGTTTGCATGTGTTCCACCGTGTTCTGGAGCTGCTGTGCGATACCGTCCCCCTGCTCAGGGACAGTGTTTGTGAGCTGGTCTGGGACGATCGCAGCCTGGTGGGGATGGAGCTGGCAAGTCAAAACACAACTCATGACAGCCTCTTATGTAGATGAATGGATACACTTCACTGAAAGGGGGAACTGGGTTGGCCACCAGACAATTTGCCACAGACACACAGGCATACGGTGCTCGGCTGTCAAGGAGAACTGTAGGCATGTGATTGAGCTGAATGAATTATATACGGTTACAAAGGCTTACCGCTGGTTACAAAGAGCTTCTCACACATACATGCACACCTCCTGTGTGTACCCCTGGGTTTATCCAAGTACAGCATTGTTGGGTCTGTAAATGTCTCTATTTGCTATTTGTATAAAGTCTATACAATGAAATGGTGTGTTTTTCTTACCATGCAGAGTCATTTGTTATCCTCCTTGACTGTTTAAAGAGTATGTTCCTATGCAGAGGGACTTATACACTTGTCAAGCCCAGGCCCCTCTGGCCCTCTGCTGTTTAATACATGCCCTGAGCCGTGCAGCCTGAGAACTGTTTTGTCATCTTTATGTGGAGAGCAGCTTTTGTGTGCCAGACCTCTAGGTTTTTCCTGTGGGAATGGGCCGAACTGTTCATGCCAGCCACAGCAATGCACAGGGCATCTACTGCCCCCTGCTGGTTCAATTCTTCTATTGTTCAGTTTCTCCTCCCCTAGAACAAAGTGGCTGAGAATAGATTGTTCCAATTTATTCATACTGAGATAGGGTGGATCTGTATCTCGTCCCAAAATAACCCTGAAATCTGATTACATTCAATTCCTAACCCCTGGAACGAGCAATTTTTCTCCTGGCCCCCAGCCAAGCCACACAGAGCGTCGGTGTGTGTCTGTGTCTGCGAACATGCATGTGACGCGAGTGCACGCACGTGTGTGTCGCTGTGTTTGTGCGGCATGTTTGCTTTTGTCTACATTTCTGTCTGTGTGTGTGTGTGTTTTTTTTTAGAAGGAAAAGCTGCGAGGCTGCATGGAACTGTTGGGGGACATCCTGAGCTACCATCAGAGCTTTCCAGCAGACATTCCCCACAGCTGTCAGCTTCATCACAGAATGGCCTACACTGGCACTGCTATATTCACCGTTAAACTCCTACAGACCATCCTCCCTCCTGAAAAGGTGTGTGTTTGTGCTCCAGTGACCAAATCACAAAACTTTCCTCATGGTTTTCTGTGATTATTTCACTTGAAAATAAAGTTTCTTAACCTCACACAGGCTAGTGACAATCTCCCAGGAAACATAGCAACAGCTATTTTCCACCTGTGCTTGGACACGTCGTTTGGAAGTTTATTACCCAGCATGCAAGAAACAGCAGTGGCCTACTTGGAGCAGGTGAACTCAGACAGCCACGACCTCTACAGGAGGGTGACACGAGCTGCCCTCTGGATGGAGTCTACCTGCAACTTCCTCAAGGAAGTGCAAGCTGAGGTGTGAGCTGCATGTCATATAATTACCGTCAATACAAGTAACTCTGCAGCCATCGTTTACATACATATAACCTACAGTTTTTTCATTTAAAACCACCCTGACAGAACTGTAACTAGCTGTGGCCCCTCAGGTTACAGCAATATCTGTCACTCATGTCTGCATTTTTGTGTTCATCGTGTTTTTTCTGCATCAAGGGAGAAAAGAATTGGTTGGAGATACTGGAGCTGGCAGACCAAGCCATAGACGGCCTTCCATTTCACCAGCACTTACCAATCATCAAGGAATGTGTGCACATCTGCTCCTACCTGTACGTTACAAATCTTTCAAGTCACTCACTTGTTCTGCTGCATTTATATTTTTGATATTTTTATGCTAAAATCTTTGGTTGTCCATCACCAGGTGGAAGTTTGACCAGCCCAGCCCCCTCCTCCAAACAGAGAGCCAGAAACTTCTCCTCAAGCTGCTGTCCCATCCCTTACCGCCTGTCAAGACGGAAACATACGAAAGCACTTTAAACCTGGTCAAGGTCAGAGCAAGCCATCCAATACAGACAGTCAGTGTTTAAATGAGACTACGCGGGTTCATGGCTAAAATTATGGCTCCTAAAGCCATAATGTGGGTCTGTTTGGTGCGGCATTCATATGTAAATAAGTAGGACGGAGAGGGATGAATGACAGATCTTTGATGCCGCGCGATAAAGAACCCACTTGACATTTGAAATCAGACTTCCTTTTCATTTTACTAACCGTCGTCTAGAATACATGGCTACATTTAAAGTGAATTGGTAACTCCTGTATGCGAGTGGGGGGATAGCGATAATTTATGATGTGCTTTGGTGTGATTACATACACCTCCAGGGCTGCCTTGGCATCCAGAATGTGTCACGACAGGAAGCAGCAGCCTGCGGTGCAGTCAACTTTCTTATCCACCACAGGGTGCTCTATGAAATAAGTGCTTTTGGACTTCAGGATTCTTCAGAGAAGGTAGGCAGAGGCATGTGTATACGTCCTGTATTTTTATAGGATTAATTTTAATTGTGTATTGTGTTATAAACTGTACCATAATGCACTTTTTTAAAATATTTAAATAGTTCTTATTTTCTATTTTCTCACGAGTCTCTATGCTTTTATATATAAGCGACTGTAGCATATCCTAATTTCACCCTGGGGAACAGTAAAGTATTTCTTACACCTTTGGAGCAAGGTCATTTTGACTACTTCTCTAAGGTGTCTAAAGTACAGGAATTTCTGTGTTCTTTTTTAAGAGGTCATGTTCATTGATGTCATGTAATTCCAGTATTTAAAAATGTGTCACTTACAGTACTAGCATGGAAATATTTTGTCAGCAGCGCCTTTGTGAATTCAGCAGTTTACCTGTGATCTATAGGTGAACATTGCTGCCAAGGATATCCTGCTATTCCTGCTCAAAGGACGATTGATGATGACAGCGTCAACCTGGGACAGATTCAATGAGGCACTTTACCCGGTCATGCCCATATTACAGGTGTTGTGCTCTCTACAGAGGCTGTGTTGTATTTGTGCTGCAACGCTCATAAAGCGGCATCATGTTTGGAAGCTCACATATCACATTCATGGAGCGAGGGGGGGAGTGCTGTACTGTATGTTCTTCACAATCAAAAACAACTATGATCAAAAGTTAGATTTTAGCGCTCTTGGACCACAAAGACTTCACATTGAGCTGCCAGTGAGGGAAATTTAGTTATTTGCTCATTTACATATTCTGTGTTATATTGTTTCCTTTTTTGGGGGGGAAACAAGCTTTTATTAATTGTTCAGTTTCAGGCAACAGAAGCCTGGAAATTCTTCATGAATATACATGAGGTTTTGACTAGGCTGTCAAGTGTGATTTAATTCAAGGAGGCCATTCAGAGATGGGCCCCTCCATGTCAACAAGAGACGAAATGAAACCACCCATAATCAAAGCGATGCATATTTTATTTACTGTTGTGCTGCTTAGCTGGAATTCCCCATTGTCTGCTCCATTGTCTGCCAAGGCAGTCTGAGAATTGTGTGCGTGTGTGTTGCAGGGTTACGCCGGCACTGAAGAGTCACTTGGAAACTGTGTCCTGCTGGTAAGTAAGATGTCGGACACGGCGAGAGAGAACGTGTTTCCAAGCACAGCCAAGCTGAAAGCGGCGCTCCGACTCCTTTTCACCAAACAACCCACGTGAGTTTGGTCTCTGTCTTTCCTTTGTCAATGTTTGTATTTGTGTCACTCTGTTTGTTTGGGTGTTATGTGCCCACCTGGATGTGTGTGCATATCAGAGATGTGTGTTTGTCATGTTTCTTCTGTGTCTATGCACGTGCTGCTGTTTGATTAGTTTGATGTCGGGTCTCTGTTTTTTTTTTTTTTTTCTGAACCAAACAAACTCCTGAGAGTCTAAATATTCTGCCTTACAACGTGTAATGTGATGGACATATTACCACTGTCTGTCGCTGTCAGCTGATGTTCTCATCAAGTCATCCGAGTGCTCTGTGAGGCCTGTGTAAAACAGCTATCCAGTCCCAGCCTATGAATATTGATAGAGATAGAAATTAACACCAGGCACTGGGCAGGAGACGAGCCCTGGTAAATTCTGGCAACAGCTAATAGATCTGTCTGCCCTGCCAGCCGTTTTTTATAACAACTAATCACCATTTGGATGCTGTGTTGGGGGAAAAAAACAAAACCAAACATTTTCAACCCTGTATTTTATCGCAGACAGAAGGTGTGCCTTGCTTTGAATAGAGCTGTTTTATGTTGTTTTTAATTTGTGTTTAAAACAGTGTGATTTTAAATGATTTAACTCCCAAGTTTTGCATAAATTCTTCTCATCATTGACAGTGTGAGAATAGCAGCAGTACAACAAATCCTGCCCCACTTAACCGGCGATGATGATGCTAACACAGCCAGACCAGACCTGGATCAACCAGTGATTTCCTGGCTTCCCAATCTCTTCTGCCTCAGACACCCTTTAGACATCACACTGGACACCAGCAGCAAGTCTGTCCTCAAGGTACAAATGAACATGCACAGAAGGAACAGCACACTTAGACACACTTCTTCACGGGAGGATTTAAGTGCCCTCTTAATGTGATTAATGGTGGCTAGGTGGAGTCGGTGGAGAAGCTGTTTTGTATCCTGAACTCAGACACCGTCGATATCTCCCTGAGAAGATCGGCCGCAGAGCAGCTGTCTGTCGTGCTACAAGGTAACTTAAATCCATGGTATATCTTATAAACTCATCTGCTATATTATTTTAGTACATTTCCACGCTGAATCTTGGCTCTGGCAGGATAATACCTTTAAACCACCCTTAGAATCTACCTCTGTGCATTTCTCTGTAATAGCTGAATCCTCTCACATCAGAGTGCTCATGTAGAGGCATATTTTAATGGAAAAAACACTGACTTGTTATACTTTGGGCCAATTCTGTACCCCACAAGTACTTGCAACCTTGCAAATGGGATGGTATCACTGCAGAGTGTACAAGCAGGATGTAGTCGCTAACAATTCACATCCTCCTAACAGCTGATATGATATTGAGATTGATATTCCATAGTGAAGTATAGTGCCTGAATTCTCAACCACATAAAAAGAGGTTTTAAAGGCCTGAACAGGATTCTAGACGCAATTTTATGGACTTGACAAAATAGAAAAAACAACTTTAAAAGTTTGTGTGATACGTGAGAGCTCTTTCCTTGTGAAAACTACAATTTGCAATGAGTGCAGCAGAGTGTGTGCCCTCCCACTACCATATGTTTTAGACAAGCGGGAAAAGCAAATAGTTTATGATTATGCAAATGTTTATCGTCGGTACATTGAATTGTTCTCTTACTTCCCCGCAGACACAACAATGCACCCAGTGCTGAAGAATCTTGGAATAGCAGACAAAGTCATTTCTTTCATTATGGGGAGTGTAAACGGCAACAAGGTAAAAACAAACCTGCTTTGGCAAAGTGATAAATGGATGTGTACCGAACGAATTGCTGTTGAAGCCAAATTAAACAAACCCCTGAATCTCATAAATGCCGTTCCATGCGCTCCCATTTGTGTACATGTCCTCGTTTATGTGTTCTCATGTGAGTACATGAATTGCCAGTGGATGTGGAGGAGACCCAGCGAGGCGTGCATGATAGAAGGATGAAATGGCCTGTATTAATAGTGTCAGACAGGCCCTGGTCAGCAGTGACGTTTGCCCTCTAGTTACTGCAGTCTGCTGATCATTTCCAGGCCTTGAATCAGAAGCCGCTAACAGGGGTAATCGTCCAGCATGTCTGGCTACACGGAGGTGAAGGGACAGGGCCACAGAGAATGACTTGTCTTGGCTAACAAGTGTGTATAACAGGGATGCCTGCAGGTTGTATTCGTCCCAACCCTCCACGGCCTGCAACCTGCACAATCACAGAATTTGGGTTCAGCTTATGTGAAGAGACAGTAAAGAGACCCTGTGCATTTGTATGGGAGAGACACAGAGCAGGAGGAGACAGAAAGAGAATATGTGTGTTTGTTTGTGTTTTCCCTGCAATTAAACACTGCATGCGTATGTTGCTGTCCTCCCCAGAGCTTAGATTGCCTGCTGGAGCCTTGTGTATGTATCCTGAGGAAGCTGGTGTATGCTGATCCATCTCTGAGGCACAGTCTGGCACATCGCAACCTCCTGCTCCTCACACTGCTCAGAGGTACATTCACAAGACAACTCATTAAGTAACAGCTCTACACGGCGTGTTGTGTAGCTTGGGGGCACATTCTCAAAAAAAACGATGACAAGTCATCCATTGATGCATAGCTTTTAACCATGTTGTCACACTGCAGTAAGTGGCATATTAGTGTGATGCAACTTGTTGCCATGGAGCTCATCTCAGCATAATTCGTAGCTAAATTATCAGTCACTTATTTTGAATTAGGAGGCATTCATTTAAATCCTAACATCTTGATTGTGAGTACCTGCATATTTGTAGGCTGTTTTAGACTAAAAAAGAGGGTTTATGCAAAAATATGTGACAGTTTTTTACATTTGTATACAGAACATTGTGTTTTTCTGGGTGAGGAGGGAATTTTAAGCGGTAGATAGCATGTCAACAGTGCATGCCCCATAATAGTGGTGTACATCATATGAAAGCTGGGAGACTGAAGATTCATTTGAGATGCAGCTTAGCACTGTGTCAAGTTTTCCTAGTCATAAATATGTAATAAACATTGTGCTTTGGTTATGTGCCTTTTGACATTTGAAGTTTAGGGTGTATAAGGTTTTAGAAGATGAAGAATGGAAGTATACGGTGGCAGTTCCCATGCTCAATGATGTTGTTACAGCAGTGTTTGGGTTTATACCATTTGTTACACAGATTTGGAGCTAAATTTTAGAATTTTTAACACTAAAGACTGATAAAAAAAAATGTTCAAAAATCCCTCCAAAATATTACATTAGGACACCAACATCTTGAGGAACACCATAGAAACCATGCTGTAATTTTTAGCACCACACACTTCTGTTCCAGAAACTGCAGAGAAACCTCCTGATTGTCAATACACCTGTGACAGCCATACATCCTCTGAATGCCTGAAGTCTCTAGTTTGTGGCTATAAAGTTTCATGAGGCTGTGATTATCCTAGAGGTCACGTTTCAAGTCTCACCTCTGTAGTCATACCCATTTTATGCAATTCCAAAACACATGGTTTTTGCCCAGGACTGTATGGGACTGACATGAAATGGACACGTCTGTGAAAGGGACACTTGTGGGTACCCATAGAACCCATTTTCATTCAGATATCTTGAGCTCAGAGGTCAAGGGACAAGCTGGCGTGACACAGTTGGTACCAATGGATTCTCTAGGTCTTTTTGTTTTACATGATACCAATATCTAACTCTAGCTTTGAAACTCAGCCGCCCTCTAAATGACAGTAATGTCGGCGGAGGACACTGTCGTCCTAGTGGAATGGAAAAGGTTAAAGCACTCACTTGTTGCATTAAGAGCTCAGAGGCCAACTTACAGTTATTATAATGTCATAGCAAAACCAGGTTTCCAAACTTCTAACTGTCGTTTATCCATGAGGTTTAGTGATAAATATTAGGGTGTGGGTGTTATGTAAACTGTATTGTGTCTTCATTATAGCATCCTTGATATTGAAGGAGAACAAAGGCAATGGCAGTGAGGTAGCTGTCCTGATGAGTTTACTGCTGTTTGATGAGATTGCCAGCATTGAAATATGGTGAGTTTATCTTTCCTCCCCATGGGTTTCCATGCCTTTAAAATCAATATGCATTCATTCAACATTTTGGTGTACACCTTGATTTTTTTGTGTCATATTAGGTCGGACAACTCCAACCCAGATGTGACCCTCACGCCGTTCTCCCTGCCACTGTCAGTAATCCGCAGGTAAACTGAGCTGTAAAGCTGCCAAGGTCTCTTCTTTTTATCAACAGCACTTCACAAGCAATATAAAAACAGTTTTCTCTTCTCCCAAATTTTCTCCCAGGTACAACATCCCATTTCAGGCAGCGACTCATCACGCTGTCAGCCCATACTGCTGCGTCCTGCCCCCTTCCTCTGACCTGCTGACCTTAGCACCTGCCCGCCAAGCCCTGCAGGTGGCCTGGAACACTGCTTGGCACTCTGGGATGGACGGCCTCCTTCAAGAGCTGCATGGCGTCTCTACTGATGATGCTGAGTAAGAGCCTTAATGTTTCGTACTTTTATTCACACAGTGCGGCGTTAGCGTGGTCTCAGATTATTATGATTTGTTCTTGTGGAAAGAATATGGTAGAAAAAGGTTGGAGACCAAGCTTGACTATTGTTTCTGCAGTGTTTCCCTTAGGTTGACTGTTGTGGGGTGGTTGATGGGCCATGTGTGGGAGGTAATTCAAAGGTTTCATCAAGATATTGTTATTATCAATTCAGTTGACTCGACTAACACACATGAAACATGACGTAACAATAAGAACATTTATACATTTACACATTATTATTCACTTATATTTTACGCCTTACCTCACTGATTTCGGTCTCCTACAGCCAGGAGGAGTTTTTCCTCTCTAACAGCCAAGATGGGTCAAAACCTGTCTTTCTGAGCGTGTCGGGGGTGCAGTTGTATCAGCAGGAGAGCTACTAGTGCTCTGTCCAGGACAAGCTTCCCTCCCACTAGGAGCAGAGCTGCTAGCATCATCGCCACTGTTGCCAGATTCAGCTGGGCCCTGCATTAAAAAAACACACAGATATTTTAGCTTGATTTATAGATGTTTGGGTGGTCCATATGTTCACTTTAGCTGTCTTTCCTCTCCTCTGCTTCACTCTGTGTGTGAAGAGGGGAGAAAGCTTCAACCTTGGTGAGCTGCACAGAGGAGTCCGTAAATGACACCAAAACACAGTAAAGACACTCACATTGAGCTGAACTGACACAAGTGCACATTAATTACATTTCAGAACAGCACCACACAAAGGCCCTCACAAATGCAAACCATTGATTTGCGAATGAATGGATATTTTTTTATTGGACTTTTTTTTCTTTTTTTTTTACCCCCAGCAGGGGTCCAGTTTCCTGGCAGTCCACTATCCCTGCACAATTATAGGGGATACATTCTTCTCTATCGAGAGAGTTGTCTTTTACTGGGGACGGAAATGGGTTAAATATATGTTGGAAAAACTGAAGAGAACAATTCATAGCAGGCTATTTTAATCAGAGAAAGGGACTGCCACACATCACTCTCACATAACGTTCTCTCTCGTGGAGAATTGTCATCAAGAATTAGTTTTAGACGCTCGGCATCTTGTGTTTCATCTGTCTTCATTTACTTCTAATTTGACCTAATTCAAAAAGATGAGAATGTCTCTCCAACAGTTTTAACCAGCTTGATTGCGGCAAAGAAGTTGAAAGCACACCGAGAATTTATCAATCTACCAAGTTTCATACGATGTTATGACTGGGAGAAGAGTACGTGTTGAAGATGGATTAGTCAGTGAAACTTTAGAGGCGTCTTTCTGTTTTGTGTGAAGTGCAACTCCGTGCACAGGTCCTTATCTCTGTTGTGTCTTATCACAAAGTTTCTCATATTGTTTTGACATTATTGTGACAGTTGATTGTTGCCGGTGTGATGCGTGTCTCTTCTTGATTCAGTTACAAGTAATTCTCAGGAAAACATCTCTCTTTGGATGAGTCATAAATGTCCCATCCCTCCAGATTGGTGATCAAATATGTTTGTTAATGCAGTCATCAGTATGCCTCTGAGGGTGCTACTTATGCAACACACTTGTCAGCACATCAATAGTCATGTAGTCCGATTTGGAGCATATATACATATACATTCTGTTCCCCACAGATTTCATCCTGACTTAAAGCTGTCAGAAGCACAGGTTCTGTCACTGCAGGCAGTGCGCCTTCCTACTGCGCTGCAGGACTGCATCAAGGCCATCATCACAGCAGCAGGACACGGCTCTGTGACCTCTGCCCTCTCCAGGCTCAGCCTCTATTTACTGATTGACCGACTGGCCCTCCCTCACATCCCCACCCACACCTGCAGAGGCACCCTTCACTCGCTCAGCTGGCAGGCAGCAGTAACCAGGTACCCTGCATACAAATTCAATTAAACATTCATACACGTTAGCTTTACATGCTAACGTTCAGTTAATATGTCTTGTTAAGGTTTATGAATTAAGCAAATGATGGGAGGATTTTATGCGACAACAGTATGCATTATTATTACTGCTGCTGGTGAACAAAGCAGGACTTGCTGTGAACCAAATGTTTTTCCATGGCTGAGTGAGCTCAGTGAGGCTCTGTCTTTTTATCTTATTTTGAAGAAATGACATGAATTAATAACATTTAATGTCTTTCTTTCTTTCTTTCTTTCTTTCTATCTTTCTTTCTTTTTTCTTTCTTTCTGTCTTTCGTCCATCCTTCTTTTCGTCCATCCTTTCATCCATCCTTTTGTTCGTCCATCCTTTCGTCCATCCTTTTGTTCGTCCTTTCTTTCGTCCTTTCGTTTGTCCATCCTTTTGTCTGTCCGTCCGTCCTTTCTTTCGTCATTTCGTCCGTCCTCTCTTTCGTCCGTCCTTTCTTTCGTCCGTTGTTTCTTTTGTCCGTTCTTTCTTTCGTCCATCTGTTTGTCCATCCTTTTGTTCGTCCTTTCTTTCGTCCTTTCGTTCGTCCTTTTGTCCGTCCTTTTGTCTGTCCTTTTGTCCATCCGTCCTTTCTTTCGTCATTTCGTCCGTCCTTTCTTTTGTCTGTTCTTTCTTTCGTCCATCCGTTTGTCCGTCCTTTCTTTCGTCCTTTCGTTCGTCCGTCCTTTTGTCCGTCCGTCCGACCTTTCTTTCTTCATTTCGTCCGTCTGTTCTTCCGTCCGTCCTTTCTTTCGTCCATCCGTTTGTCCGTCCTTTCTTTCGTCATTTCGTCCGTCTGTTTTTTCGTCCATCCTTTCTTTTGTCATTTCTTTTGTCTGTTCTTTCTTACCACTATTTGCTATGTAAAGAGTTGAGTAATGGCGCAGTGAGCAGAGAATGAAGTCACGCTCCCTCTGTGTTTGTTGTAATGCGAGCTTCTCTGTCTGTTGTGGTAGACGGTCCGTCCCTGTGAGTGTGTCCCACTGGCTAGCTAACTGCTGCTGCGCTGCACTGCACTCTTACGGTGGTTACGCTGACATCGTGTTTGCGTCCTTGCTTAAGAGTAGCGCCTACCGTCTGCTTTCTTCTTGGTTAACATTTTTGCTTGGTCAGCACTTTGTTAACCATTGTTAGCCCTGTTTATTGAGTTAGCACCGTTAGCTGCTGACCGCTGGCTCAGCCACCTCCATGTTGAACCATGATGAGACTATTCCGCTTTAGACTTTGAATCAGAGGTATGCTCTGGATGTCACATACAGCTCCTTTAAAGATTCCATAAGGAAGTGTAACAAACTTTGAATATCTTTGAAGAAAGTTTGAAGAAAGCAAATTTAATTTTAGATCCTTGATGAGTCTGTACATAACTTTTGGGTTTTTCTTTTTGCCTGGCATCGTCGCTAAGTTAATTGTTTTTTTTTTCACTGGAAGTTTGACTAATTTTTGTGATTATTTTAAAAATACTTCCACCCTCTCATTGGAGGACAAATATATTTATTCTTAAAGGTATACTGTGCAGGATTGTGGGTTACTGTTTGTAACCATGCTTGCCAAGGAAGTGAAAGTCAAAGCCAACCAAAGATTCAGTTTCTTTTGGTGTTTTGCCTTACTGTATTTGCATTTTTAGCCGCTGTATGTCTTGGATGCTGGCTGCTTACAGTCTGGCACCTGATTGTTTTTTATAAAGCCCCGACCTCACCTGAGCACAGTGGGGGTAAACGCCCATAAACGTCCTGAGAATAGAAAATAAGAGGAAGTTAAGAAAATAAAAGCACAGGGCAGAGTCTCTGCAGAAAATTACATCACCACACACTTTAGGAGAATCCTGCATGATATAAATTAATTTAGTTTTAATTTGTTTTATTTGAAGTTCTTCCTCTAACTACTCTAAAGCTTAACTTAAAAAAAGAAAATGATTAAAATTTGATGGAGCGGTAATGATGAAGAAAATGAGAGAAAGCCTCCAACAAAGCATATTCAAGTAGGTCAATTATTTCAATTGATTCCATCAGTTTATCACCACCCCTCTGACAAAATCTCTGATTTCTTCATCTAGTGTTGTAGCGTATGTCTAATACTTGTCAAAATCGCCTCTGTGCAGTGATGTTTTTTGACAGTTAGAGATGAAAAGAGGAGTAGGTAGAAGTTTAACTTCTTTAGTAATCAGCATACTAGACAAATATTGAATATTAAGTTATTACTGAGTGTTTTCCTTTCTACCATGCTCTCTTCCTCGTGTTGTGACGGTCTCTGACTCTTCTTCCCTGCAGGTTTCTCCAGGTGTGTCCAGCCTGTGTCGAGGATGAGAGGTTGCTCGTGGGTATTGTTGCATTTTTGAATGCCTACTTCAAACAGATGCACACTGAGTCTGAATCTGACCCAGAGGATAAGGACCTGCGTTGGATACTGGAGCTGCTTCTCAACCAGGTACAAATAATTCACACTTTCTGGTTGTGCAGGAAAGTAAAACCTCACAACAATAGTTCTGTATTTCTTTTTTATCTTTTGGCTTAAAGGGAAAGTTGTCTTTTAAACACACATTGGTGTAAGTTACAGTATGGCGTTGTGGTATAGATAATAATCTTATAATGTGTACCACTGTACCATAGCTTGCCTTTGATGTGAGTGCTCGTGCTTGCGAAGTATGTGTGTGTGTGTGTGTGTATCTCTGTTAGCTAGTAATCTGGTTAGACTCTCTCCTCTCCAACACAGAGGGTTATATACCTGGAATCAAAGCTTGAATAAATCACACGCCGTCAGACAAGCCAAACATATTACTCTCTCATAACGACAGGAAAATAGTATCACAGTGTACCACCTCAGACCCGCGGCACAGATTATTTCCTGAGCTCTTAAAACAAAGTTGGATTCATATTTTCGCCCGAGGAGAAGAATCACCACCACACTGTTTTAGTGGGGAGAGCTACTTTTAGGATTTAATCAGTCTCACCTTGGCTTTCTCATTAATGTGTGTGTAAACAATAAGCCCTCCCCTGGCAGCTAAAGCAGACTCAGATTGAATGCCTAGTAGGGGTGAGCAGCTCTGCACTGCTCAGACTTTTCTGTAATTACTGAGCTGTTTCAGGAACATCTGTCACTCTCTACACATATTTAACTATCTACTGCATGTGCGCTTCAAGAAATTCTGCATGTTTGGTGCTCGTAGATCTGAATTTTTCAGGAAAAGATGGGTGGTGCTACAAAGAAGGTGTTTGCTCGAGTACGTTTTCCCTTATTTGTTCTTTTTTTTTTTTTTTAAATTTAGAAAGTTTGGCAGATGAAGTTTGTTTTACTGTTAAAGGGACAGTTCCCTCTGAAATCAAAATACGTATTTTTCCAAATGTTGATGTCAATTCTTCCACTCATCCATCATTCAGGAGGCCGCATCCCTTCTTAATTTGCTGCTTGGTGTGGAGACCCAGACCTCAACTCAGAGCCAGGGGGAGCCAGAGGAGCTGAAGAACCACGTCAGCCAGAGACTACAGAGAGAACTCACCAGCTTCTTTAACATCTTACTCCTCCGACTCGCACACACCACCGACAGGTAGGACGATATCACCAGTGACACACTGGGAAGTCACAAAACGGGCACAATACAGTCCTTAAATATTTATATATTTGTAGTATATTAGTTGTAACATTTAATTTACAAATATGGTTTAATTTCTTACACTTAAATACTAAAATGTGAAGGAATGTCTTTTTATTTGCTCATCAGACACACACTAAAGTACTAAATTCTGTATTAACAAGTAGAGCTCAGGGCCAAAGAGACACAGCTGACCTTCCAAGTGTTTTCCTGCTTTATATGCCACAATATTTTCTACATTTCTACGTAAAAGAAATGAAAGAGCTATGATTATTCCTCTCTTAGTGTATGGAAAAGGTGAATGCACTCTCGTGTTATGTTATTCAGCCTTCCTGTGGGGTTAGAAAATTGATTAATATCATCAGGAGGAAAGAAGATAGTGAAGTGTTCTTCCACTGTAGGGGAAGTGCTTATTTCAGTTCATTTGTGATGGAAATCCGGCTAGCTTAGTCATTTAGAACATGAAAATGAATGCCAAACACATAAAAAGCCAGAGGCTTATGAAAAAGAATTGGAATGCTAATTGTCAGCGTTATCTTGTCTTTCTTCCTCTTTTCTCTGCCTCTTGTCTCCCCTCCTGACTGTGGGGTTTGCTCGTGTCTCGCTCTCTCTCACTCTGCCCTTCCCTGTCTGTGCAGGCTATGTTTGGCATTAGCGGGCCCCTTCAAGAGCCAGCTGGCAGTCCGTTTGCTTCAGAGCCTGCGGGTGTCTGACGCCCCGCGTTTCTATGGCCTTCCCAGCCTGGAGAGGACACTGCAGGGCATGGTCAGCCTGACTGCCCAGCCTGGCTGGAGCTCCCACTGCTCTGACCTGGAGCCCATCTTGCTCTGCTCCAAGTATCTCAGTGGGCTATTAGAGGTGTGTGTGTGTGAGTGTGTGTGTGTTTGACATGTGTCTTCATAGTATGTGTGCATATGTTCACGTGTTGCACAGGCATATGCAAACCTCCCACCCTCTCATCAGAGCTGAGACTGCCTACAGAAATGAATAAAAGGAAAAGCATAGTACTTTCTGAGGAATTAATTAAAATTAAGCAAAATGTGGTTACGGGACATGACTTGCAATAGGTAAAAAATCTCATTGATTAGATATGCCACACTGTGAAGATGCTGATGAGATTAATCAACCTTGCCTTTTCCATCTGTTCGGTTGTTCAACAGTCCATAAAACAATAGCATAACATGATGTAGACCAGCTTGTGCAGCAGTCCTCAGCGCAGAGGTGTCCAGACTTTTATTTTTGATTGGGAATAAAGACCTCGGTGGAATAGACCATCCTGTTTACACAATACATATCCTTGTTCATTTGGATTGTTTTAATGGGTGTGAATTAAGATTGCATAAAGATTGAAGGTTAATATCCTTTTCAGTCAAGATCTCTGGTGGCTGCCTTCATCTCAATGATAGCAATCAGATACCTGACCATTTCACCCCTGTCTGCTCAACCCTCTGACCCACCTCTCACCTGATACTCCCGGCACTGTCGGGCCCTAAAGCTCAGCAGGCCTTGGGCTTCTCTGTCTTCGTCTGCTCTTCAGAGCAGTCCCACATCCTGATGGCACATCAAAGCAAAATAATTAGTCTCAGCTGTATTTAGCTTTCCTTTGGATGCAGCGGGTTGCATGACAAGCATACAGTAATCGCTTCCTCAGAAACAAGTGCTCTTTGTTAGGTCTCCTTTCCCAGATTCCGAGAAACAGGGAGCGACGTGCAATAACGCCACTGACTGTACCAAACCCAAATAATGCGCAGTTCTGTATGTAAGCTACGTCTTTGCAAGATTAGAATCCCCTCATGATCTGTGTCCTCTCCACAGGTGATCTCCTCGTTTTATGTAGAGTGGGGAGGAAACTCCATGTCTTTCATGGGGAAAGGTGTGACCAAGAATGCTGTCATCTGCTTGCTTCACCTGTCCCATGAGATGATGGTTGAGAACAAGGACAAGGCAAGTGTCAATAATAGTCACGCTTCACCTGCAGGACACTGATTATCAAATTACGTTTCTCTTTCCCATCACTTAAGTTGAATCACACAGTAACATAGGAATGTTTTTTATGATGTTTGCGAGGCGATTTTAGTGACTTTGCTCCCCTCCCCATGTGCAAATGTTCAACCAAAACAAGTTCACCTCTGACACTACTTTGCAAGAGCACTGTCGCTGCATCCTGGGCCAAGTGTCGCTCAAGATGACTGTGATCGGATTAAAGAAACAAAAACAAGCAGGAGCATTTTTCCCCTATAGCAGAAAGATAATTGGTGTTTCCAGTAGGGATAGACCGATATGGATTTTTTAGGGCCGATGCCGATACCGATTTTTTTCCATCACCCTTAGCTGATGACCGATTATGGACTGCCGATTTTCTTGAGCCGATATTTGGGGCCGATACTGCTTTTGCTCCCTCAATTTACATCAAAAAAATGACACAATGATAACAAATATTACAGGTCTCAAGTTTAAAATAAGAAACATTTATTGAACAGTAAAAAATACTAAAACAAGATGGAAAGTTGAGGTAGAACAGGTAGAATATTATTATTATTATACATTCAAATAAAAAAAAGAGTTCAGTGCTCTTAAATCTTCCAGTAATGTCTTTATAAAATAAACAAATATTTAAGCTGAAGCATAAATAAAACAACAACTACTGTACACAGTAGGATTCGCTGCATGTGCGCTGTAGGGTCTTCCGGCAACACAGAGCTGCCCGTGGATGCCTGTCTGTAAATCATGCCAGGGAAAAATAAATCCGCAAACCCACGCGCGTATCGGCCGATGCCGATACAAGTAAAAAACTCAAATATCGGCCCAATATATCGGCCGGCCGATGTATCGGTCTATCCTTAATTTCCAGACCTTTCTCCAGCCAGACAACAGACTACACAGTACTAAAACATTTTGTAACGTAACTGGAACAATGTTTTCCTCTCTATTTTGCCTGCGTCAGGACTTCATATCCCAGTGGTCTTTGGGGAACGAGGCAGCTGCTGAGGAGGCGAGTGCCTCTCAGCTCGGTTTGGCCTGGCTCATCCCACTGTGGGTCGACCGTGATCAAGAGGTACGAACAGTTTCTCCGCAAGTCATGATTGCACTTTAATATGTGTAAACTATATACAGTATGTGCCACTCCAGTTTTTAATATTCAGCTGTTCACTATTCATTCTTCAGCTCAACTTCATAAACTCTTTCTGTCAGAAAAATGAAGTTTCATGATGCTTGACTTTTGGGACAAATGAAACCCATAAGAGTTGCACAAGAACTCGCAGACAAAAAGAAGCACATGACAGCTAGTCATACCAAATTCTTTGTCTGTCTCCGAAAATAAGTTCTCACACAAGTCAGTCTAAGAGGCTCCCTTGACAAGGTAGATTCTGTCTTTGCCATCATCAATTTAAATGCCAGTCTAGTGTTATGAATAACCAGCACGGCCAAATTCACATTTCTCCTAACATGAACACCATTTACGTTTTTGGAGATTCATTACTGTTATTCTGTGGAGGTTTGTACACCCTCTTTCTTTCCCTATGCCTCTTTCTTTCCTCACACATCCATTCAAATCTGTGTCTCCCCCCTCTCATGTCAGGTGAGGTTTGCCAGTTTGGGTTTAGGCGCAGCTCTGTCCTCGGTGCCCAGCGGGTGCCAGGCTCTGTGTGCCAGCTGTCAGAACATCAGCGGAGGTCTGTGGGGCACGTTGCTCAACATCCTCCTGGATCAGCAGGAGAGCAGCATGGTCCGCAGAGAGGTACGACGTTAGAGCTGCGACTCTGCTCTACTGCCTGTGCAACCCAGAAATGTTTTCTCCCTGTTGCTACACGGAGGAAATAAATAACTTCCTCTGAGGAGTCCTGGGCCAAAATATAGAACAGCAGAGTGTGTAATTATTTACAGACATGATTGACACAAACCTACTGTTGTTGCTGTGTGCCATAATTTCAACACCTATCAGAACTAATAAGAGAAAAGCAAAATTCACTGTATTTTATCTATGGTCAGAAAATGTGACTGGACCTTTATGTATTACCGGCCAAACACAGGCAGATGGCACTGTTGCTGATGCAGTCTAACTTGACCCAGTGTGTGCACGTCCCTCTCTTTTTTTTGTGTGTGTCCAGGCTGCGTTTATCCTTCATAATTTGCTGGTGATGCCCATGCCTGCCAACGCAGAGGAGGCCAAGGACTCCCACTGGCAGGTCAGCAGCTCTGCCAACCAGTTAAAAAGCTTTTATAAACCGTGAACTGTTTTTTTCCTCTCCCTTCTCTTTCACTTTCTCTCTGTTTCTGTCCCCTCTCTGTTCCTCCCTCCCCCCTTGTTGAGCCCTGCAGGGTTCAGACCAGGGGTGTTACTAGGATTGAAGCTCTGCTGGAGTGCAGGCCTCCAGCATTCACATCCATAATAACTAAGTTCTGCCAAAACATTAACAACATCTTAATCTGGCCTGTTATTACATGAGAAGGAAGCTGTATGTCAGAGGAGAAAAAAGATGAATATTTATTCTTATCTTTTAAAAGCGAGGCTTGTTGTTTACTCAGTGTGATTTAGTTATAATCACCAGAAAGAAGTTTATCAAGACGTCAAGTGTTTATCCGATGGACTTCACTTGGTGGGTGTATTGCTGAGGACCCAAAGACGTCAAGTGTCGAATGCGAGCTCTTGAGATGAGCGGGACATATTTATACGTGGTGCATTACTACTCCCGGACACTACACTACACGCTGGGAAGTGTGATGAGAGGGGACCTGTATTAACTGTTACATTTCCGCGTAGCATGCAGGATACAGCTCACTTTCCGTCGCTCTTACAGTACATTCAAAAACAGATGAGGAAGAAGAGACAAATTCAAATATTTAAAGCATCAGCGATGTAACTTTGGAAATGAGTGTTTTTGTTCCCAGAAATTGCCAGACTTTGACTTCATCAAGCCCATAAAATGTTCGTCTTAGCTCTTATAACCCAGCTCATTCTGAACAGGTATGTTTTGAATAGGCATTACGCAAGTCTTCAAAATTTAAAAACTTAAAGACTTGGCAGTGTTCATGCAGGGGCTTTTAGAAAATCACTGTCACATCTGAAGTCACCAAAGTACATTTCAGTTTTAAATTGAATGGTGAAAATATAGGTCTGGTGACAAAGGCTCAAACAAAGTTAAGCCCAGCTGGATTTCAACCTCTCTGTATTTAGTTCTTTGCCTCACCTCTGTTCCTTTCACCCTGATCTCATCAGTAACATGTCACTGAAAGTCATATAATAGTTTGAGGTGCCCTCATTTCTTTCTCTGCGTCTTCCAGCACCCGTGTGTCCACGATGAGGTGTCCGGTGTGTCTTTGGTGGGTCTCCCAGCGCTCCAGGCTCTGCTTTACCACTGTCAGTACTTCCAACACGTGGCTCTCTCTGCCTCCAAATGTTACCAAGGCAGGTACACTTTCCACCTGCAGCCTCGTCTTTCTGCTACCAGTGGGCCCAGTCCTCAGGAAAGCAGTTCACTGGGTAGGTTTTATTTTCAGGGTCATCATTTATCAATTGTTTTTTCTAGTAAAGGCTGATAGGTCATTATGTGTGTATGTTTGTCTAGATTCTGAGAATTCTCTGTGGTTTTGGAGATGCGACCCACCACCGCCCACTGTCGACTCCAGCAGACCTTCCAGCTCCCTCTCAACGTCTAGCACCATGGTCAGCAATGCCCTCGTGCCTTCAAACGTGCACTTACACTAACATTAAAGAAATACTTCACCTTCCAGTAACCATTTATATATAAATTACTCACCCTGGGTGACATTGAATTCATGAGTAAAATGTGTTTTTGGATTCTTCGTTCACCGTAGAGGCATGCGAGAAAACCAGAGAAAATTCCTGATGAATTGAAGTCATAGGGGTCCACGTTTAACAGCCACAAACCTGTATTAAAACATCCATTTGCAAACTCTTACACAACTCGTCCAAGTCTCATTTATCCAGTTGTATGCTCAGTACTTCTCAAACAGACAGCCCTTTATGACAAGGAACTGACTATAAAGTAAAACTTCTCTGTGCTCTCTTCAAAGCCAGACTCCATTAAGAAAAGTGGTAATTTTACCTGGCTGAACACGGGAGCTGCTGGTCTCCCAGTGCCTTGATGATTGTATGTTTGTGTTATTGTGGGACTTTGGTGAATCTGAACAAACAGCAAAGTCACACAATAACACAAACAACTAATTGATAGAGGCAGCAGTAGACCAACAGCTCTCATCTTCAGCACGGTAAAATTACTGTTTTTGTCAATGGAGTCTGGTTTTGAAGAGAGCATGGATACGTTTTACTTTAAGTTCAGTTAGCTGTTGGAAACTGTCTGTTTTGGAAATACTGAGCATACGGCTGGACAAATGAGACTCGGATTATACTGCAAGAGTTGTGTAAGAGTTTTTAAACAAACATTTACATGGTCATTTGCAGGATAAAGTCCTCACATCTTCTTCATGTTGTCCATTACAGGTGAGAGGTTCAGGGCCACATACCCCTAAGAGTCCCTCCCTGCTGAACATCACGGACGATACCCCTGCCAGCAGACTGACGGCTCAAGGTACAGCAGAGAGGAACAGAGAGCGTGTCTGTGTGCACACGTGCATTCACGGTAACAGAAAAACATCACGGTTCTTCACACCATGTAATCCTCCTCATTATTTTCCTTCAGAAGCAGTGAACCTCATTGTGGTCAGTGATGAATACAAACAAAAACCCCACATTTGTGTATTTATATTTCTGTCTTATAAATACAATTAAAAAGTAGAACACTGCTTTGATTATGTGGTCACAGTATCTCCAGTCACAGACACAGTGTGTGAACTCTACTGGGAGGACGCGTCTCTATTAGCTGTCTGTTGCTGCGTCCCACAGGCCAGAGTGACACGGACACCAGCGACTCGGTGACCTCCCAAGACTCCCGACAGGGCGAGCCCTCTGCCGCGGAGCCCGTCGTCATGGTAACTCCCGACCTCATGACGGCCCACTGTGGCCTGCTGACTAACCTGCTGGCCATCCTGCCAGACTTCACCCTCGCTGCCATCCGACACAACCAGCTCCTCCAGGCGCTGGCCAGGTAAGAGGCCACATGCTCGGACTGCACGAACACACACTCCCCTCCAATGTGGTAATCATGAATACATCAAAATGGTGTTGTTGTGTTCCCAGCATGAGTTTTGCAGTTATTAAAAAAATAAATAAATATAATAAAAATAGAATAAAATAAACACTTTCAGCTCTGGTAACATATTTTTGTCATTTTTCATAATGATCAAAGATGATATAAATAAATATGTGTGTATTTTATCCAGTAGAGACTTAATGTTAAGTCTAGCCCTAATACCCTCCAGCTAGTTCCTTACAAACACACACATCTTCCATCATCTTTCTCTTCCTCCTCAGTCTGGTGGATATTGGGCCCATTGAGAAATGTCTGACTGAGCTGAAGACACCCAACGTCCTACCAGGAGAGAGAGAAGACATCAAGATCCAGGTGAGGAACACTGTGATAGACAGTTCTGAAGAGTTTTTCGACTTTTTTGTTATGACTTACCAGAAAGAAACGTGGGTTGGTACAGTACACTGTTTCAGTGCAGCGCTAGGTTGTCTGAGGGCACCTGCAGATTTTGGTGTGGGTGCAATACTCAACAAGCTTCGACTCAAAGCATGCCGTTGTTTTTGCAGCTTGGAAAATTAGCTTTTAAAATAGAATAACTACGTGCATTATCATATTTTCTCCAAGCTTAGCTGCTCAATAAATGTGTGCAGTGTGTTTGCATGCACGTGTGGTTAATTGGTTAAAACGTCTTCCTGTGTGTGTGTGCATGTCTCTAGTTTGTCACCCTGCTTCGGTTCCTGTCCAGCTTTTGCAAACTGCTGCAGTCATGCGTCATGGTGAGCCAGGAGCTGATTGGGCAGATGGACTTCCTGAAACAGCTGTTGAGTGCTCTGGTGGCAGTGCTCATGTTGGACATCAGAGAATTAGGTCAGCATCTCATGCTCAATCCAAATTGAAGTCTTGATTTCCGAATGTAGTTGTCCAAACACTTCTCAAAATGTTTTCCATGATCCACTGTGTGTATGTCACCATTATGGATCTAAAAAAACAAATGCAACTCCTATTCATACATATATCCACCTCTCCCTGCAGTATGTTCTACAGTGTGATCCGTGTGTGGCTTTGTGGCTGTCCTGTGTCATTAAATCTGTGACTCACTCTTTCCCTCTTCAGATGCAGGTACCCGGGACGCGGTTTGTGTGTGCTGGGCAGACGTGTTTATGCTCCTGGCTACTCTGGTGAGAAGGGACAGCTCAGCAGCGTACCCATCTGTCTCTGCTGCGCTGGGGAGATGCTGGCGGACATTTGCAGGTATACAGATTCTCCGCTCTGTGTGTGTGTGTGTGTTACACTGAGTGAGTGAAGGAGACAAAATTAATTATTCTGGTTTAGGTTCCAGAATTCATTTATAATCATCTATTGTGGATCGTTTCTCACAAATTATAATAACAGATTGTTGTCATTTTTGGAAACACTTTTCATTTAATTTGAGCAGCCCACTGTGGTTTAAGACTCAAGATCTTGATACATGATGAAATCAGGCTGTAAAATAATTTTTCTCCTCAAATCACAAAGACTGATAATCATCATTAGGGTAATTATGCTGATTGCAGTAACTCACTAAATAAGCAGGATTATCATTTTAGATATAATTGTGCAGCTTTCTTTCTGGTACCCAAAAAAAGGAGAGAAATTCTATCATATTAACACATTCGTTGCATCATTACTGTGAGTATTAACTTCCCTGAGCAGATGCTGGGATGAGATAATTGCATCCTGTCCTTATAGTACCTCTCCTCCTCCTACTCATCTTCCTTTGTGATTAATGGCGCAGCAGGGGAATGTGATGAGTCCAGTAAAAGATGAACGCTGAGCCTTTGTGCTTGTATTTATGTCTTTGTGTACTTGTTTATGGTGTCTGGGTGTCTGCATACACATTCAGATGATTAGTGTGTTCTCCATCACTGCGTACTGCCTCAGTCATGGACAAATATCTGTCAGGGGATTTAAACAATGGGTTTGCCATTTTGTCTCTCGCCGTGATTCAGTATGTTTTGCTGTGTCATTCATTAAAAGGCCAGCTCACTCTTTTTATTTCCCCCCGCAGGAACATTATCAGTGTGTGTGGACGAGAAGTTCGCAGACCCTCGTCTCCACACAGTGGCTCTGCAGTTCCTCAGTACAGTTTTCACAGAGGAGGCAAAGTGTCTGGGTGCAGAGGTCACAACCTCCAGCTCTAAACATGCTGCTGCTTTGTCTGACATTGTGAACGGTCCCTCAGCCGGCCAGCTGTGTGAGCTGTTGCTGCAGGTACGTGGAGGTGATGGGGGCTCGTTGTCTGTCTAGACTCTGGTGCACAGTGGGAATTAGAATCGACTGAACTTGATTACTTTTTATATACTGTAATGTATGTGCTCACGGCTCAAAAAGTTTGAATGGAGCGATCACTGTGTCCCTCTTTGACTGTCGATGGCAGAGTTTTGATAAGAGGACCCTTCAGGACCCTTTGAGGAAGCTGACAGCCAGAGCTCTGATGACACTACTAGCCTGCAGTCCCACAGCTCAAAGCCACGCAGCCAAAGGTAATTCCCCAAACCTCAGGCTAGAGCAGGGCTGCCACCTGTTAGTTACTGTTTTGAAAATTTAAAATGGGTCACTAGCTTTTTGTCTGCTGGTCCCCATAAGACACATGTGGCTTCATCACTCTGTATGTATTTTGTAAAACAACTACTGTTACTTCAATAACAGTGATCATGGATCTCATTTATAAAACAATGCGTAGGATCCATACTAGAAATATACGTATGGGCAAAGGCCAAACATTTGCCCAAAAAAATAGAGATGCACTGATACAGCTTTTTCAGTTTCTACTGATCCCAATGCTGTGGCTTTGAATATCAGCCGATACCCGAGACTGATCCGATACCATGGTCGACCTAAAAAAGCTATATACCTTTACATGTAGAACAGAAAAGACTAGAGGCATCAGGCATTGATGACTACACAGTTCTTTCCTAAGATAAAATGAAACAAGATGAAACAGATTAATCCAATGATGAACTATTTATTTTTACCAAAAATAACAGCAGTCTAAATAGTGTGAAATATCTCCACACAGCAGATTCTCTTCTTCTCTCAATGACGTAGCTCGCGTTGCAATAGATTTAAAGGGAAAGGATCGCCTCAGGTATAGGTTGCATTTTCCGATACCCGATTCATCTATTTTGATGATATCGGGGCCAATATTTGATCCAGATATCGTATTGGTGCATCCCTAAAAAATATCCAACAGTTTCTACAATCAGGCTTCTACCTCACCATCTGCGTCGTTGGTAAGCATGGGTCAAAGCTTCTCCCATCAAGTCTGTTTTTATAGATCACAACTTCGGTGGGAAGTAGCGTACGCCTCTTTATGTATTGCCCTTGCTCTCACTATGTTCTACAGATGTTGGTCCACAGGATAAGAATGGATCTAGCCAAAAAAGTTTTTAAACGTCTAGTGCGTAGGATTTAGGGTAGGGGTGTCAAACAGAACTGGCCCACCAAAAGGTCCAATCCGGCCCAGTGGATGACTGAACACACCTAATATTGATGCACTTGTGAAGGCTAAGAGGTGCCAGGTTTCAGGAGCAAGATAAACAGTTAGTAGCCTTCATGTAATTTGCAGCTTCAGAGGCTTCTCCACCCTGACCAGAATACAGCTCTCTGAAAAAACAATAAATACTTATTGTGGTCATATTCAGAGATGGTGAACATTGTAGTCAATCAGCAGCGTTCGTAGCTTCCCCTTTAGTTTAGTGTGTTGAAGCCAGAATTTCTACACACGGGTGGAAATATATGTAAAAATGCACATGTAGGGGACTGACTAACTTGGACATGTTGTTAAAATTGCACTTATTTTTCTCAAGACATCTGGTTGTAAATGGATATGTTCAGAATGTACTTATGCTTCTTTACAACAAAAGACAGGGGTACATTTTGTAGGTGGTGATATTTGTAAGTTATTATACAATGGTTTTACTGGTCTGGCTCAGTTGAGAAGGTCTTTATGTGGCCCATGAACTAAAATAAGTTGGCAGAATTGGTACATAGTATTCATAACTATGTTTTCATTAGTTTATAATCACCTGAAAATGATAATCATTGTTTTTGTTGCCTTAGAATGAGCCGTTTATGTCTACATACAGAGCGGGTCATCTCCAATGGAGTCCGCCATTTTGTTCCTACAGTAGCCCAGAATTGATAAACCAAACACTGGCTCTAGATAGGGCCATTCGCATTCTTGCGTCTACCAATGTCCTACACGCTTAGCACATAGGAGCAGTGCCAGTGGGGTGCAATCTGCAACCTCACCACTAGATGCCACTAAATCCTACACACTGGACCTGTGAGTCGATTTTAAAGGATTAAAAAAAGAGTACTCATAGTCATCGTGATTGCTTCTAAATTAAAATTTTTGCACATCGTAATTGCAAATTAACTGAATATTGTGTTCACTCATTTGTAGTGTGTGTAAGCTGTAATTGTCTGTTTGTATTTATTGTTGTAACCCTGGTTATGCTGCCATCTTGGCCAAGGCACTCTTGAAGAGGAGATTTTGATTTCAATTAGACTTTTTTTTTAGACATCATTGAGAGCTATATTTTGTCAGTTATGGTCGATGTGATATTATAACTCTGGATTTAATGTGATGTTAACAATATGCTCCACTCTGAACTCTATTTGTTTTTTCCCCAGCTGGTCTAATTGACAGCTGTGTGGAGCAAATGAAGCAGACTCACTCCCAGCTCCACCTGGAGTCCGTCCGGCCCGGCAAAGCCTCCCACCGCAAAAAGGTGAGCAGAGACCAGCTGGAAATTTCCAGTCATGGTGTTTCTGTGCTGTCTGTGTTTTTTTCCACTGGATATAAAAACAGTCTGAATCCAACACGAATGAGTTTTATGGATAAATATTATGAATATCTCTGGTAGTTCTCAGCAGTCAGTCCCCGTGCTGTTATGGGGCAGTGTTTTCAACGTGAACATCTAAACATATCTTTGTTTTGTTTTTCTATATTATCAGGAAGAAGGCCATTTAAAGGAAGTCAAGCTGACGGTGGATATCCTGCGGAGTGCTCTTTACCGCAACGATGAATGCAAAGTGAGCCTCTGTGTCTGCTTTTTAATTCCCCGCTGCTAATTGGTTTTTAATGGAACCTCAGAGTACCAATGCTGTGCCTGTAAATGAGATTCACCTAAATGTGCATGGCCCTGCTAACATCCCGGCAAGTTTAGCTTCTTAAACCCTGTAATGGCATTACTTATGGAGCATATTAGCTGGTTTTTCATTTTCTAAGTGGCCTTTCAGTCACTGGTGGTTACCTTGGACTAAATAGCCAGGGAGGCTCTGCTGCAGTGTTTACCCCACCATTATTCTCCTCTCCACGTGTTCCTCCTGCACACTAACCACAACATTGAAGCATTTTATGTTGATTACTGCCATCTGTGTTTGTGCTGTTGTATAAATCAGGGTTTCTCTAATGTATGTTGTGTGCATCTGTAATCATGCACATGCCTGTATGTGGGCTTTTATAAATGCAAGTGCATGTGTGTGTGTAATCCATTTGTATTTCTGTGTGTAGGTTGTAGCCACGGATGCTCGCCTCACACTGGCACTCTATGCTCTTTGGCCTTGGTTCTTATTGGACGACCACACTATGGAGGCGGTTCTGGAGCTCCTGTGTGTCTATACAGCCAACTGCACCACAGGTCTGTTTGCGTGTGTGTGTGTTTTGTCTGTCTGCATGTCTTATGTGTTTGTGTAGGCACTGTGCCTGGCCCGTGCCTGCCCATCGCCTCTGTCTGTGGTTAGCAATCTGACTGAGTCACACACACTTCACACTAAGAGTCCCATTGTCCTCTCCAGTGACCGCTGAACAACATTGTGTCTCACTGTATAAGACCAGCGCCTGCTCGCCTGCCAGTCACAATGGGCACAGTGTCAGGATCTGGGGATCAGGCTGCATGGTTGTCTCACTGTATGTATGGCAGCGGGTTTCAGACCAGTTGGAGATGATGTGGGGAAGCACAGAGTGTCTCTGTGTTGCCTGCGATATTGGTATTCCATCATGCAAATGTAAGGGCTGTGTATGTGGAAATCAGAAAGGCGTGTAGAAAAAGGCTTTTTGAGCAGAGGAAAGGCAAGATTCATGGGGAGGAAACAGTGAGGAAATTTTACTTTGATAAACGGCTCGTGGTTCCTTTGATCTGTTTGTGTGTGTGTGTGTGATGTAGTTGTGCAATGGAAATCAGTTTCATCAGTGGAGGAAAGGAAGTTTCATGTGCAGCGCTTATGAACGTTTCTGTGTGTGTGTGTGTCTGTGTCTTTGTTTGATTGGCACCGGTTCCTCAGTGGGTGCATGTGCTCTGATCTAAACTCACTCGCTTTAGACCCCTCATAAGCTCAAGCTGTGAAGCACCACGAATCAGTGAAGTCAGGCACAGTATTTCCCTAAAGGTTAACTGAACAGCAGGTTGTGTTCAGGCTGCATGCAGCCAGGCTTAGTATTACACCATCCACCCTCAGGCTACCAGTTCTTCTCCTGAGACTGCCACATTTCTACTGAATGTTTCATCTCCAGTCTACCTCCTTCATCCAAGGCTTTGTTTGCACTGCTAGTTCAAGTCAGATTGTTGTTTTCATCTGTGCCACACATATTTTCACAGATATTTTTGTAGCAGCCCCAAAACTCCCACAGACAGAAACTAAAAAAAAAACAACTCTTCTATGGAATGATCATAAAAAAATGGAGATTTGTAGCAGCGGTGGGAACGCCTTTGACTCACATCAGTGGAGTAGATCCATTATAAAGAAGACCTCCCTCGTCAATTCTATGATAGACCAGCTTTCTTGACAGGTATCGAGATAACCTCGGGCTAACATCAGCATACGCTTGTTGCTGTATGTTTTCATTGCAGAATTTGCATAACCAACAAGCTGTCATGTCCTTCATTAAGCAACATCAATCAGTGTCACACGATGCCTTGTCAGTGCTCTCTGTCTTAAGCTTGTTTATTTCTGTATGTGATCTACAGCTGCAGCAATTAGCCGTGTCAGTTATACTGATGCGAATGTTGTGCGGAAAGACAGATATTTTTATTTGCTTCACTTATTTGTGTGATATATATTTGTGTTTATATTTCTGAATGGCCTAAATTGTAAATAAATTGTGGCCATAGCCTCAGGCTAAATTATTTCCTTTCCTCCCAGAGTAGGGGCATGCTTTTTTATCATCAGTCAGAGTGCTTTCATGGTGAATGAAGATTAAAAGTCAGTTTAAAGATATAAAACATTCATGGCTAAATCCATCTAATTCTTCATGTGACACTTAATTGCTTCAGAATTCTATTCCAAACGCTGTTTTACGATGACGTAGTGTCTGTTGGCTGCGACTGCTCTCTCTGAGCATCTGTATTGTTCCCACTAAGGTGAAGTTAATTCTCTGTGTACAAGAGTTCCACTCATCTTCATCATTTTTGTCATTTGCTTAGACAGCTTTTACAGCAAACAAGCTGTGCATGCAGCCATGCAGAGATGTTTTGGTATGGTGAGCAGACAGCCGTGCAGCCTGACAGGTCAGTCTTTATTTTAGCTAGCTGGCTGCAAGATAAACAGTAAGAAGCAGCCAGTGCCAAGAAGAGGGAGAGAGCATTTTGCTGAGTGTTACAGTGTTTGTATCAGATTTTTCTGGGTCATAAAAGTGGCTTAATGCAATATTGTGTTTGCACATTTTTCACTAAGAAGCATTTGCCCCCATATAAACATTTAAATGTTAATTATAAGGTTGGAAGTCATGTTTGCTACAACACAATCCACCGCACTGGATGTGACTGCTGCCCTCAGTCGAGGAGGATTGAATAGTTGTTTTTTATGTCAGCACAGCCATGTCAATCAGCAGCACTCCTCACAGGCTGCCTCGGGGACAGAGGGCATGCTCGTGGCCTTCATGCATTGATTGCTGCTCTTACCATTAAAGACACAGAGTGCCCATTAGAAAATGGTAAATTATTCCTTTAAAATGACCTCCAGCCTTGATCTGCTGCGCTTTTAACCACTGTAAATAATCTGCTCCTGCCTACACACGCTTTACAGTGCATGGCATGACCTGTATATGAGAGAAGTGACGCCCACAGTATTCACAATCTTTATCTTAAATTTTGATCTCATTAAAAAAAGATTAATCACAGAAGTACTTGTGGTTGTTTTCTTCTTTCAGCGTGCAGTTGTATTTGTGGCGGTGGCCCCGCTGTCACACCAGGATCTAAAGCCACCCCTGGTAGCTCTCTGATGCACTCTGTCATGAAGCTGGCCTCGGGGGTTGCCCCAGATAACAGCCTTGTTCAGAAGCTAGCCTTCTGTCTGTTGGCTAACCTCGCCATGTCCCGTGACTGCAGAGGCCTCCTACAAAAGGTACAGTTTCTGATAACAAAGTCAAAAACTTGATTTGTTTTGTAAGAGTGAGAATCAAAGAATGAAGAGCACCAGTTTTCCCTAAATGGAGCATAACTCATTGATGAGTTCAACAGTTATCTTTAGTTCATTGTAACTTGCTGTGAAAAACAAATTTGAATAACTTTAATTTTAACGTGATATGCAGTGTTACAGAATTTAAAAAAACAGCTTGGCGCTTGCTATAAATAAACATGCGCTTCTCTCACACTTAGCCTGTCTAAAATCTCGCCCTCACACTTCCATGATGCTGGCTGGGGAAATATGTTATAAACTAGGGAGCAGCTCTTAATGATCTGCTCACATGACGTTAAAACTCCGCTTGCTTTTCAGAATAATTTCCTACAAGCCTTCCTGTCAGTGCCAATACCCAAGGCGGGTGGTGTTAAGGCCACGTCCGCAGGCTGTGGAGGTGTCGGGAGCCTACTGGGCCTGTGGCTGAGGCTGCTGGTTAGCCTGTCATCCACGGAGGACGGCCAGCAGAGTATCCTTAGGGTGACCGGAGTCCTGGAGCTGCTGGCAGACCTGGCATCGCATCGGCGCCACGCACTCCTCACCCTTCACAACCTCTGCTTCTGCCCTGCCAACAAGCCACACATCATTGCCAACGGTATGAAAGGAAAGCAGGGAATGAATATATTTATCTCACGCAGGGTTATCAAAGTGTAAACTGCAAAGTACAAAAAGCAGATTTGTTTGTTTTTGGATAAATCAACCATTCATCCATCCACAATTTAAGTCATTAAGTGTGGTAAAACTCTGAAGATGAATCTCGCCTTTCATTTTGCTTCTGTGAGAACGACAGACCACAGTGGGAGTTAAGATGCAGCAAGTGTGAGGCCGTGTTTCTGCTAGACCAGACAAATTGTCTTTCATTTTCTTGGTAGGCAGTCTTATCATATACTAAATGTTACTTTTATCATCTGATTATTCTGATTGCTCAACCTAAAAGATCATAGCATTTGATATTAAATGAATAGTTAAGCATTTATTTAAATTTAGGAGAGTAGGAGGAAGTCAGAGAAGACTATAAGATGAACGTATCCCCCCCACTTGCAGTGCAAGCTGTAGGTGGGAGCTGCAGGACCAGGTGGGTGGAACCTGTTGTGTAACATGATTTTTGTTTCCTGTGGAAAGATCGCATTTCCTGCCTGTGTGTGCGTACAGTATGATCTCAATCAATCCATCATCTTACAGGAAATGACTTATATGACCACACTGCCATTGTTAGATTTCCATGTGAATAAGTAAAAATGCAACACTAGTGAAGCTGTGCGGCATCAGGAAATGACCCAGATAATATCAGTGTGGTGACTCGTGTTTAGTTCATCAGCTATTTGCTCCTTAAAATATCAGTATGTTGTTTTCCAGGTCAACAGATCTCTGTATGCTCAGATCTGTGTTTTGTTAGCTAGAGTCCTTTTAAGGTGCTGTTCTTGTCATTTTGAATTTTTAAAAAAAATCCCCAGCAGATTAATGGTCATGACTATCTGCACACCTTTCTTCCAGACAAAGCCATGAAGGTGCTGCTGTGCTGCTTGAACAGTAAAGTGATGGAAACCCGCTCTATGGGAGCGTCTTCACTTTGGGCGTTGCTCCATAACAATCAGAGGGTACACACATTTTACATTTATTTTACTTGTTAGTATTAGAGTTTATTGGTGATATGTCAAATTAAATCCTGAGGTCGCTTCACTCTGTCTAGTCTTCATTGTCCTCTCACATATAGAAGAAATGACCAGCCTTTTCTTTTTAATCTCCTGATTACAAACCGAAAAAAAGAACTCTCTCGGTTTCAGCCTCATCAACTCATCCTAATCTGTCTCTCTAATTTCCCCTCAAAGGCTAAGACCACTTTGAAGTGTCCCTCTGTTCGATTGAGAATCGAGGAGGCACGCACCATCTCTAAGAAGGGTATGCATTTATTCACTTTGATGAAGATGTATCAGTACCTGCTGTGATGCTGTGATGCTGAATGTGGACACAAGGTTTCACATGTCCTGTTGTTTACGACTTTTTTCTTTCGACCACAGATGCAGAGAACAAGCAGGATCCTGTGAATGCCTATCTGTTGAAGTGCCTTGAAAACCTCTCCCAGCTGCTAAATAACTGATTGTATTTATATTGTTTTGTATCATGTTCTATCAAATATTAATAATTTTGATATTAAAGTGTCGAGTGGCAGATTTCAGTGACTCTCGTCTGATTTCACCGTAACAAAGTGTTCACATTGGTATACAAACATACAAGGTGATGGCTTCAGGAAGTATTCCAGCTGTGGCTTTAAACACAGTTATTGCGGTCGTGGTGGTGTTCTGCTGTTGTTCACATCATACCACCTTGGTTTAGTCGGTGATAACCAACAGAACTCTGACCCAGTTTTTCACAGACACTGAAAACCATGTGTTTACAGGAAACAGCAAGACTCTGAGTCTACAGCCGTGTCAGCAGCTCTGCTTTAAACTCATCGCCAACAAATTCTCGTATGTCGATGTTCAGCAGGTGTAACGTTTACTATGTCTACCTACATCGGTTATTTAAGTTAATTTTAGCTTAATAAATTCTCCTTGTTTTAAGTAAATCTTTTGTGTGGACTCCCTACTTGTCACATACACTGAGACAGTTTATGACAATGGATAAACAGAATTATTGTCCCGATGATGCTACCTGAGAGTTCACAGAATTTTTTTGTAAATTATCATCTGTGGAACATGAAAGTCTACTAAATTTACTGGCAATCTATAACGTGAGATATTTCAATAAATACCACAAATGTGAACATCATGGTAACACTAGAGGAAAAGTCAGGGAATCAGTCAGTAGGATTCATCTTCTGGGAACCATGAATGTCAGTGCAATGTCAGTGCAATCCATGAAATGGGTGTGGAGAATTTTCCAACATTGCCATCTTTAAAAATCCTCAAAAACCTTCTCACAAACCAAATTTTATTTTGATTCAAAATTGACATCCTTGAATCATCAATTTATGTATTGAAATGCCAAAAGTGTATATTTCTGTACATCAGTTACGCCCACTGATCATGTGTTACATTGACTTTGCAAAAACGGTGAACGAAGAATCCAAAAAGTAAAGAAGTTCTTGATAAAATGAAGTTGTGGGGCCGCATTCAACAACAGCAACTTCTGTTTTCAAACTCTCAAACAACTCCTGCAATATAATCCATGTCTCATTTATCCAGTCGTATGATCACCACTTCCCACACATCCCACATCACGTGCACTGTTCTTGTTGCTGAAACCATACTACGTAAAACACTTTCACATTAACAGTCTTAGGCTTGGATGAGTAGCACACCTGGGCAAGTGCATGAGTTTGAATTCTGCTCAATGGATGGCACGAGCAGAGTTAAAAAACATGCGCTTGATTCACTTGTGGAGAAGTTTTAAAAAGTTTTATAGACAATACATGTGTTGGGGATGATGTTTAGGATGCTAATTATACTGCACAAGTTGTGTGAGAGTTTGTAAACAGATGTTTTGATATACAGTACAGGCCAAAAGTTTGGACACACCTTCTCATTCAATGCGTTTTCTTTATTTTCATGACTATTTACATTGTAGATTCTCACTGAAGGCATCAAAACTATGAATGAACACGTGTGGAGTTATGTACTTAACAAAAAAAGGTGAAATAACTGAAAACATGTTTTATATTCTAGTTTCTTCAAAATAGCCACCCTTTGCTCTGATTACTGCTTTGCACACTCTTGGCATTCTCTCGATTAGCTTCAAGAGGTAGTCACCTGAAATGGTTTCCACTTCACAGGTGTGCCTTATCAGGGTTAATTAGTGGAATTTCTTGCTTTATCAATGGGGTTGGGACCATCAGTTGTGTTGTGCAGAAGTCAGGTTAATACACAGCCGACAGCCCTATTGGACAACTGTTAAAATTCATATTATGGCAAGAACCAATCAGCTAACTAAAGAAAAACGAGTGGCCATCATTAATTTAAGAAATGAAGGTCAGTCAGTCCGGAAAATTGCAAAAACTTTAAATGTGTCCCCAAGTGGAGTCGCAAAAACCATCAAGCGCTACAACGAAACTGGCGCACATGAGGACCGACCCAGGAAAGGAAGACCAAGAGTCACCTCTGCTTCTGAGGATAAGTTCATCCGAGTCACCAGCCTCAGAAATGGCAAGTTAACAGCAGCTCAGATCAGAGACCAGATGAATGCCACACAGAGTTCTAGCAGCAGACCCATCTCTAGAACAACTGTTAAGAGGAGACTGCGCTAATCAGGCCTTCATGGTCAAATAGCTGCTAGGAAACCACTGCTAAGGAGAGGCAACAAGCAGAAGAGATTTGTTTGGGCCAAGAAACACAAGGAATGGACATTAGACCAGTTGAAATCTGTGCTTTGGTCTGATGAGTCCAAATTTGAGATCTTTGGTTCCAACCGCCGTGTCTTTGTGAGATGCGGAAAAGGTGAAGGGATGGATTCCACATGCCTGGTTCCCACTGTGAAGCATGGAGGAGGAGGTGTGATGGTGTGGGGGTGTTTTGCTGGTGACACTGTTGGGGATTTATTCAAAATTGAAGGCACACTGAACCAGCATGGCTACCACAGCATCCTGCAGCGACATGCCATCCCATCCGGTTTGCGTTTAGTTGGACGATCATTTATTTTTCAACAGGACAATGACCCCAAACACACCTCCAGGCTGTGTAAGGGCTATTTGACCAAGAAGGAGAGTGATGGAGTGCTGCGGCAGATGACCTGGCCTCCACAGTCACCGGACCTGAACCCAATCAAGATGGTTTGGGGTGAGCTGGACCGCAGAGTGAAGGCAAAGGGGCCAACAAGTGCTAAACACCTCTGGGAACTCCTTCAAGACTGTTGGAAAACCATTTCAGGTGACTACCTCTTGAAGCTCATGGAGAGAATGCCAAGAGTGTGCAAAGCAGTAATCAGAGCAAAGGGTGGCTATTTTGAAGAAACTAGAATATAAAACATGTTTTCAGTTATTTCACCTTTTTTTGTTAAGTACATAACTCCACATGTGTTCATTCATAGTTTTGATGCCTTCAGTGAGAATCTACAATGTAAATAGTCATGAAAATAAAGAAAACGCATTGAATGAGAAGGTGTGTCCAAACTTTTGGCCTGTACTGTAGTTTTGCTGTTGTTAATTGTGGACCCCATTTAGTTCAGTTCATCAAGAATGTTTGTCTTTGTTTGATTCTGTGTTTAACACGGAGGAATGTGAGAAAACCAAAGTTTCCCTCATGAATTCAAGATAACATAGGATGAGTAATTGATCTACAAATGATCATTTTGTGGGTGAAGTATTCCTTTAAAGAGTCCTAATTTAAGTTGTTGCTGTTGTATAGAGAGTGAAAGTAAAAAACCATGTATAGTTTTCCGACTTCCAGATATCCGAGGGCAAAATTGGTACAATTTAGAAAACTTGAGGATGGATCTCACTGTGCCACATTATGCCATAAGCTTGCCTCCCATTCCCAGCCCGAGGGATAAAGTGCCCCTCTGTGTGGAATGAGCTAACAGTAGGCTACCATGAAGTGTGCCCCAGAAGCTCAAGTGTTTCTCTGTAGCCAGAGAGCTAGCAGGAAGTGCAGCTCGGGTGCCTCTCCGCTCGTCTCATCAATGCAGCTTTCATTCTCCCTCGGTGGGGCAAGATGGAAGCTGTACAAAAGGACCACTGGTACTTCGTGGTACTCATCTTTCTTCCTTTTCTTAAAGGTATGGAGTTTGTATATCTTTTTATATTTTACAGTAGATTGTTTTTTATCAATGGCAATATTTCACATGACAACACTTTTTTTGACTGTTCAAAGTGTCATTCACTGTTGTCTCAGAGTATTCAAAAAACTCAGTGTAGATATTTTTAATGTAGTTTCATCTGTGTGTAATCTAATCAGTGCTTTATTCCACAATTTCTTTTGCTTTAAACTGGCCGGGAGATGGTGGAAAAGCTTGTTATTGTAAGTTTGGCGAGACATTATTATTCTAACCCTTCCAGAGCTCTCTCAGGGGCATCACTGGACTTGAAATCAGTTGTCATTCAGCTCGGATAAGAGGCTTTGAAAACTTGGAAGCTTGATCACCAACTATTGTCAGTTGTGTTTATGTGTACTGGCTCAAATTAGCCTAATTACCATTAACTGAGGGATGGCCTCCAAGCTGTGAATGGCTGTGTTAATCTTCAACTAGAGGAGATTTAGGGGGGAAAACATGGCCTTTTTTTGCTGTGTTGCAGAGATGTAAACAACATTTCTTAGAAGTTTATGACTCTGAACTGATACATGTAAAGTACGTGCCCTACGAACTGGTTATTCTCATGCAGTTGGATTACTGGTGTCATTTATGCATCTATACAGACTTGATGATTTCTAGATTCTGTCAAGACTGATAAATTTAATGAGCAGAGAAATGTGCTTTGTCCAGTTGCTGTCCAGGAGATGGAGGCTGCCACAGTCCGTCTGGAGGAAGGGATGATCCTTGACTGCTTGTGCCCCTGGGACGGCAACCTCAGCATGGTGTCCTGGACCAAAGTACCAGACAAGGATCCGGTAGCTGTTTTCCATCCAGAGTACGGAGTGGCCTTTTCTCACCATTACCGCGAGAGGATAGAGTTCCTGAGGACCACGCCTATGGATGGAAGTATTTCCATGAGGAACGTCACTCACCAGGATATCGGGGTTTACCACTGCTCTGTGCAGACCTTCCCACAGGGCCCCTGGACAAGGAACATTCAGGTGGAAGATTTAGGTAAATGACATGGCAGAAAATACTGAGGTGGAAATTTTGAGTTATATTAAATTACATCGCCCCGGCTGAATGACTAAAAAAAATTATGGTGGAACTTTTTATAGATTGTGTCACTTCCATCACACATTTAATTTTCATTCTCTCTGTGACGAGCTATTTCCTGTAAGCCCTCCATCTTCCTGTGTTCACAGACGAGCCCCCAGAAGAAGACAACAGCACAGAGGCCCCCATTCCAGAGGTAATCAAGACGGACACAGAGCTGTCAGCGGAGCAGGACAACAACCTCACCATCAGCTGTAACCACGAGCACAATGGCACCGTCTACCAGGTCATTTTGGAGAAGATGCCGCACGGCCAGCCCTGGGGCATCATCGGAGTGTGTAAGAAGGTGGAAGGGGGCCTGGTGGGCGAGGACTACAGCGACAGGGGCAGGGTGAGCTGCGCCGACAGCCTGGATGTCAGTCTGCACCTGACAGGTGTGGTGCCGGAAGACAGTGGTTTCTATCGCTGTACCTTCAGCACAGATGCAGGGGTGCAGACCACCACTGTGCTGCTTACTGTGCCCCCTCCAGGTACAAAGACAGGCAACGCTCAGTAGTTAACATACATATTCAGTATTATACAACCTGAAAGCTGGATGATAAATACTATCTTAAACTTAAAATGATTTATGGATGTGAATACGTCTCAAAGAGTAGTTGATTAAACATAATGAATACATTAAAAGAATGTTAATCTAACACAACACAGCAGACTCAAACAAACTCACACCTGCTAAAACCACAACATCCTGTGGAGCGTCCCTCGATACTGGGAGATGTGTGTGTGTGTGTCTGCACACTGTATATGCATTATTGTGGTGTATCTATGAGTCACAAGCACACATGACTCTGAAATGTTGAGGTCATTCACCACAAATCAAGCTGCACCTTTTAACCTGTTACTGTGTTAAATGGAAAACCCGTTCCTTCAGAGCGCTCTTCTTCTCTACATTTTCAGGTGGAATCAGCCTGTCTCTGTACATGATGTATATTTACATTGGGGCTGGAGCTGCTGCACTTATTCTGCTCATTGTCATTATCATAGTAGTCATGAAGCACAGGTAAGATCCCACAGTGTGTTCTCTTATATCTTTAGCAAACATACTCTAGAGCTAATTGACATAAAGTGCTCGGATATTTATAGTTTGAAACAAAGAGCTAAGTGACATTATCAAATAGCATTTAATTAAGTGATTTAACAAGAGTCAACAGCCATGCTAGCTCTCTGCTTTAAATTAAATGCTAACGTCAGCATGCTAACATGCTGATGTTTCGCAAGCAGTTAATGTTTACCATGTTCACCGTCTTAGTTTAGCAAGTGAGTATGTTAATATGTGCTAATTAGCACCAGATGCAAAGGACAGCTGAGGCTGACGGGAATGTGATTAGTTTTGCAAGTATTTCTTTATAAAGGAAGTCAAGCTTTGACCCAGTTATGGTGCCAGATGAAAAGTGGGGGAATTGCCAAAGTCATTACGATATCTGTACCAAGTCTGATGGCAATTCATCCAGTAGATGTTGAGACATTTCACTAAATAAACAGAAAGTGAACCAGATAGTGGTTCCAAAACCGTGACCCCTTAAAATGAAGCCAGTAGTATGTTCACAGATTTCAACCCCCGCAACCAAGGAGAAGTTTGTCTTGTTTTTCTCAAAGAGTTTAAATACGCCAAAAGAGATCAAAATTACAGTTTCAAAAGAAAAACCCAAAATTAAAGGGATGTCTGATTAACAGAAATGATTGTGTTAATATAGTTTTTCCCTACTTTTCTGTCCTGTACGCATCTTTTTTTTTTATCTTGCGATCCCTTGTGGGGGTTTGGAAACACTGCACAAGAAAAAACTCAGCAAAGATATTAGGATTCATCCTCTGGGGACCTTGAATCGCTGTACAAACCTGTGCAAACACTCCTCCAAGGTTCCCCTTGTTAAAGAGATCGTTGATCTCAACGTGACTCACCTGAGACCTGTACTACGAAGCAGGATTCTGAGTTAGTGAGGTAACTTCAGGGTTAACTCTGGGTTTTCAGCACTGTGAAGCTGGTTCTCCTTTTACCAGGATAAATCACCATAGCAACTTATGCTGAACAGCTAACCTCATCATCAGATCACAGGCTGTCAGCATCCCGACCTCTGACCAATCAGATCACTGAAGAAAGATCTATGGACAAAAGAGAGGAGCCTATATGTTGTTGTTCCAGGGATCTATTTCCACTGGATTTAAAACAGAGCTTGTAACAAACGGAGAGATCATTTACAACACTAGACACATGATTGTAGCAGGATTTGAACTTTTAACTTTAACTCGCTGACTTTTACACTCTGATTCCATCACTGCAGCTCAAAATAACATGAGACACCTGTGTGATGAGAACTAGGATAAAACAGATAATATTTTATTGGTAAAATAATCCACACACTGTTTATCAGCTCCTGTTATTATAAATGCCACATTTTGATCAGATAGACCTCATCAGCCATTAATTACGCTACTTTAACACCCTTTACTTCAGTAGCAGGAACAGTCTTTCAAACTTCAGTGATACCTGCACGTAATTTAAGTCTTAGCTGACAGTGAGTTTTTGGATGGTGCTTTCAGTGTCTCTAGATTTTCCGTTTTAAGATGACAGAGCATCATTTACATCCCATGCCATTTTACTTTCTCGCAGTCCTGGGCACTTTTGGTATCGTTTCATCACATATGCAGCCTACTTCATTCATGGTTCTCATGATGTCGCTCTCCATTAACACCCCCTGCCTCTTTCACATGAATGCACTCATGGCTGTATAGGAAAACCCAGAGTTGACTGAACTAGATAACCAGCTTTGTAGTACCCGTTATCTGTTAAGAAACTCACACAGAAGAAATTATCAGGAGAGTGTGACATGTTCCTTTGTTGCACCTCCACTGTTATTTGCTTACTTGTTGTCCCTATAATCACCACAGGAAGAAGAGCAGGAGAGAGGAGTACAGAGTCAAACTGCACCCATCTCAGAGACAGGTGAGCCTCACATTAGTCATCATATCTACGCTTGTGTTTGCACTTGACACTTTTAAAGCTCTCCCATACCTTCTTGTTAGACATGCACTTAATTATAAACCTGTTCAACTTTATTAATACTAACAATTAATATTATTTGATACAGCACATCCTGTCATCATATAACCTGATACCCTGTATTTATGCTTGCTGACGTCACTAATGCTGCTTTACAATAACTGACAGTGTGATGGCTTTTTGGTAACGTATGAGAGCAGCTTGTCAAGATGTCGGCAAACATATTAAATTGAATGAAAATATAATATTGTATCCTATAAACTGTAATTGCAACACTTCTTTAAAGTGACGTCATATTCTTATTTCTGAAAAGGACATTCAGTTCTACTCAATATAACTAAATTAAAAGGAATTTGTCACCTATTTGATGTAATAAAATCCGTTTAATGTAATGAGCTAATTTTATATCATCATAAAAAGCATATTTCAGTCCATTCAGATGGACATCTTCTCACTTTCTGCCCAGCTCAGTCATTACTTTATCATCTGTCACACTGTCCTTGTCTAACACTGCATATACTAATCAAATCTACCTCATATTCACAGCCAAACCTCTATGAGAACATCTCTGTGTGTCCCAGGATGGCAAAAAAGTCCAGGCAGATAAAAAATTGCCCAGTCTATGCCAACCTACAGACTGTACGATCACACAAAACCAAACGCCAGCGTCATGATAAATGAGCATATGAAAATGTGACGTACTGCATAATGTCAGTGGGGAATTTTTTTTTATTTATTTTTTTTTTTTATTAACAGACAAAACAGATGCATGTACGGTGGTGTCAGAGAGTATTCAGGCCGCCTACAATCTGCATCCATAATGAACAAGTGAAATCATGTTTTTAGAAACTTTTGTAAATTATTAAAGAACAAAAACTGAGATCTCTTATTTGAATAAGTATTCAGACCATTAATTCAGTACTTTGTGGAAGTCTCTACGAGCTTTGCACACCACGATTTGGGAAGTGTATCCCATTCTTCCTGGCAGCTCCTCTTAAGGTCCATGAGATTGGATGGACAGCATGAGTGAACTGCCTTCTTCAGGTTTCTCCACAGATGTTCTATGGGGTTTATTGGCTGGGTCGCTCAAGGACAGTCGCAGACTTGTCCCAATGCTTGGGGTCATTGTCATGCTGAAAGGTGAACCGTCGCCTTAGCTGCGCTCTGAAGCAGGGCTTCTTCAAGGACCTCTCTGTATTTGGATGCATTTATCCTTCCCCCCATTTTACGATGTTACCACCACCATGCTTGATCATAGGGGTGGTATTAGCCAGGTGATGAGCAGTGTCTGGAGTTCGCCAGACAAAGTGCTTGGAGTTCTGCCCAGAGAGTTTAATTTGTGTCTCACCACACCAGAGAATCATTTCCTCATGCTCTCAGAGTCCTTTAAATGATGTTTGGCAAACTCCAAGCAACATCATATGCCTTTGACTCAAGACTGGCCTCCATCTGGCCTGATAGATGACACTGAGATGGTCTTCCTTCCAACACGTTCTTCCATCTCTGCAGAATACGCCCAAAGCTCTCTAATACCACTTCTCCATCAAATCAGCTCTAGTTCTTGAACTGGTTATGTCAGGGTTCCTGGAACCTTTTTGTTAGCTACAGAACCAGCCCCGTTTCCACCAGTTTTGAGTGAAGCCATTATAATTCTGGATGCGTCATCAGTGGAGGACGTTGCACAATGCACAGGGAAAGTCAACAGTAGTAGCAAGACAGTGGATCACATTGATTACATGCAAGCTTTTGCTCTGCTGGACCAACTACTGATGATAAGACAATTTCTAACTTGACTTCTCCATTGTTACCATCTCCATCTTCTCTGTCCAACCTGTAGAATGTGACACGCCCCCTGATTTTGTCAAAGTTTGCTCTTCAGGTCAAGGAAAACCTGCTATTTTTTGGCTTCAGCTGGGAACCAACTTCTCAGGTTCCAAACTAGTTTATTTTTCAGTCAAAATGCTCTCAACGTTTCATAATAAGGTGCGCAAACTGGAATGGAGCCCATCTCCTGTTGGTGGAAATGGGGTATTGGAGTAACTGTTGGTCTCATGGTCATATCCGTGACCAAAGCTCATCTTGGGCTCCTCAGTTTGGCCAGCTGACCAGCTCTAGGAGTCCTAGTGCTTCCAAACATCTTCCATTTTACAGTTAACCTTTCACTAAGCCCCGCCCCTTTATGATGGTATGACAAGCTGCTGGAGCAAGCAAACCAGCCTGAAATGAAGGAAATCTGAAATGATTGCATTAGAGTCAATGGAGCACAGCTGTGTTGCTGAGCTGGCCCGATGCTACATTATGATTGGCCAGTCTGTGTCCAAGGGCGGGACTTAGCGATGCGTCAATTATTGAGGCTGCTGTGCTCCTGAGAACACTTGGAGCTTTAGAAATGGTTTTGATACTCTTGCCCTGATTGATGCCTCGCCACAGTTCTATCGTGGAGGTCAACAGAGAGTTCCTTGGACTTCATGGCTTGCTTTTTGTCCTGGCATGTAGTGTAAATTATGAGACCTTATATACAGAGGTGTGTTCTTTTCTAAACCACATGATTTGTGTCCAATCAATTCAATTTGCCACAGGTGGACTACAGTCAAGTTCTAGACACATCTGAAGCATAATTAAAGCAAACAAGATGCACCTGACCCCAATTTGGAGTGCTGCTGCAAATGGTCTGAATGTAAATAAGAGATTTCAGTCTTTGATTTTTAATAAATTAGCAAAAATTGCTAAAAAAAAAACATGCTTTCACGCTGTCATTATGCCTTTTTTTGGGAGTTGATATGTGGTCAAATATGGTAATTTTATCCATTTAAAATGACATTACAACATGTGTGTAAAAAATTAAGGTGTCTGAATATTTTCTGAAGCTGCTGTTTGTATATATGAGCAAAAATAAGCATATATTGACAAGCACTGATTATAATTATTTGATTTTTTCTTTCAAATAAGATGCAGGGATCACACTGACACTGATTAATATTCACACTGTGGTTTGAAATGAGTTAACAAGCCGGTGCTCATGTAAGTCTCACAGAGCTGACGGGTTTGTTTGTGTCCAACCCTGCTCCCACTAATTAAATGTAGTATGTACTTCATAATTACTGTTGAGGAAATATTTGTTTTTGGGCAAAACAATATTTGACAGTAACCGTCACGCAGAAAGAGCAGACAAAAGCCTGTATAATCATTCTTTTCACTTCCCTAACCCCCGAGTAAAACGATTGACAAAAGCCTGTGTAATTGCTCTCCTTTTACTTTCATCCCTCCTGGTTTCCATTCAAAGCTTGACAATGGTGTCTAATCATCTAACGGAAGAGAAAAGCAGTCACTCAGCACTGTACCATCACTTGAGACTGTTGCTTTCCCCAAAGGGCTCTCTGTCTGGGATGGCTGCATTCTAGTAACAGTGCGCTCTTATTATGAAAGCTAAACTCTAATTAGATAATCCTGTGCTTCTGTTTATAGCTCCTTACACTTTATCATTCCACTGTTTATTGATGAATATGTTTGTTCTTTTTTTTTTTCCTGCGTTTTACATAATTAAAAACACAAAGTCATTTTTTTGATAAGCTGTCACAAGTTTTCCAAGTTGTATTTATTATTTTTTTTTATGATTTCTAAGATTGCCTGCTTGCTATATGCGTCTGTGAGTCAATATTTAAGTTTTATGGTCGTACCCTGAAGCGGTGTGTTGTTTATGTTTAATGTGATTCATTTATCTCCATAGAAATGGAGGCAGTGGCTGAGGCAGTAATGGATATGCAGGCTATTCTGCTAGAAAACAAGACAAATGTGGACAAGCCAGAAATGTGGAACATAAATGGACAATGTAGTTTGGAATCACACGTTTTTGCCTTCATTCTCTCATCTCGCTGTTCCTGGCAAAACAATAGAAGCTGCAACTGTATATTTGACTGTGGTACTTGTGATGCTGTGTGTGCGACCAGCAATACTGAAACTGATGTGTGTGACTGTAAATGACTCACTGTGATACAAATAAAACAATGTCATAGCCATTGCTGCAGTGATTTCCTGTGATGGGGGAGTTTGATAAAAGGAAAGAGAAAGAATCATTGCACCGAAGACTACAAACTATTTTATGGGAAACCAAAGTGTTTTGTGTGAGATGGAAGACCCTTTGTGTTTGAGCTTAAATTCTTCAGGTAGAAATTCAACATTTTGGAAAATTTGCTTTCTTGCCGAGAGTCAAACGAGAAAGATTGATACCACTCACCTGTAAATATGAAGCTACTGCTAGCAGTTGGTTAGCTTAGCTTAGCACAAAGACTGGAAACAGCTAGCCAGCTCTGTCCGAGCAACAGCAACATCGAGGCTCACTAATTAACATGTTATAAGTCATTTGATTAATCAGTGATTTTATGGAGGGTTTGGAAGATTTTATAGACTAAATGCAACTTCCTAGAATCCTCCTGTGAGGTCTCCATGGTAACAGTAGGGACTACAGGAAGTTCCTGTGCCAGGCCAAGAAACAATCCTCCATAATACCACTAACTGCCATCATAGACTTCCTAAAAGAAGTGGACATAGCCACATGTCGTCATCCATTGGTTTGTGGAGTACTGTTTTGAAGCCTTGAGTTTAGCATTTTGGCCGCTGCCATCTTGTTTTCTTGGAGCCACAAGTGACCATATTTGTACGAGATGGAGGATCTGACTGATAAACACAGCTCAGCCTCGCTTCTCCATAGACCACCACTGTAAAACTGTTGACAGGACACACTGAACTTCAAACATGTACAACAGGTAAACACAAAGTAAGGTCTGTAAACTGAGCAGGAACTTGTGGGTGGGGCCAATTGGAGGAACACTAGTGCACATATTCAGAGGGGGCTCCATACCGCCGATGTAAACCTGGAATGCCGTATGCACCAAGCGAGCAATTCTATTGGATTTAATAGGTGCCATCTTGGTTATTGTTATAGATCTGAAGCTGAAAAGCCATGGAAACTATGCACACAAGTTTTAGGCAACCAAAACCTTACAATTAACTTTTATGAACTGAAAACATACTTGAAAGGGTCAAAGTTCTCGGTCAAAGATAAGTACACAGACAGCACCCAAATACGAGTTCAGGGTTATCGGCCTATATTGATGTAGTCGCAACTTCAATCAAAAGGTAGCCACGCCCCAAAGCATTCTTTCATTCGTTTATTTTCAGTACCTGCTTATCCTGTTGGGGGTCATGGGGGGGCTGGAGCCTATCCCAGCTGGCATTAGGCGAGGACAGGTCACCAGACTATCACAGGGCTGACACACTGAGACAACCATTCACGCTCACATTCACATGTATGGACAATTTAGAGTCACCAATTAACCTGCATGTCTTTGGACTGTGAGAGGAAGCTGGAGTACCTGGAGAAAACCCACGCTGAAGGAAAGAACATGCAAACTCCACACAGAAGGGCTCCCTCACCCCCGAGCTCGAAACAGGAACCCACTTACTGTGAGGCGACGATGCTAACCACTGCCCACCATGCCGCCTCCCATAGGCATGCTGTGCTTTATTGTTAACTCTAAATGGGACTATAATCTACAAAATGAACATCATGTTGTATTGTAGAAGACTAAAAGCTAGCATTTAGGACCCTAAAGTCATTAGGAAAATGTTTATTGAGGAAAGAAATCAAGTGAGAAATAGGAGTCGCCCCCTGCTGGCCATTAGGAAGAATGCATTGGCTTTACTTTTCAGCCCTTACTTATTTTATACACCCTATGATTGTCATTTTACATATGATTTTGGAACATTACTATATTGGTGCTGGTAGGTAGACTACATTACCTGTGAAAAGAGCCAGCCTAGCTATTTCTCCTCCATTTCTAGACTCTGTGCTGAAGCTAAGCCGGCTGCGGGCGTCAGTCTTCTTATGTAAATGTCGAACAATCCTTCAATTGAATGTTACTTACCTTAATTCAACACTCCTGTTTGGATAACAAAATATGTCGATACATGATAGAACATTCAATTTATTACCTTTTTTATCATCAAAAACGTTACATATGTACATTTAGTGAAAACTGTAGTCCTACACTCAATGTATTCAAAGTGCTATTAACATATAACCTGACAGTAACAGAACACAAAACATGGCTGACAAAAACACAATCATATACTGTAGTAACAATAACAGAAATCATGACGACACGTCAAACCTACAAATAGGTGCATGGCTACAATAAACAACAAAACTTGCAAATGATAAACACAGTCAACTAGAACTCTCTCCAGTCGTCTCAGTTAGTACTGCTCTAACGCTCCAGATGTAGTGGAACTATTATACATACATTTATTAACCACACTTGAGCTAAGACTCAGGACAACTAGGGCAGAAATGTGGCCAGATATGTCGGCAACTATCTGTTACTATGGGCTCTGTGATGCAGATAATTTGTAGATGGGCACTTTGAGGCTCAAATTAATGTGAAGGCTGAGATCTTTTAAATACAACATACAAAATAAAGTGACTGACTGCAAAACTTCAACACAAAATTGTGTTCAAAAAGTGTTTGTACTTGTACCTCCAGTTTCAACAATTAAAACACTTAAAAAATAAAGTAATTAAGTTTGACTTTAAAGGACTGCTTTGCTGCCTCAGACTGATTGTCACTAGAATCAATTTCAGAGTTGTCGCTGGAATTTCTGGATTCATGCCTTTCTTTAAAAAAAATCATGTAACAAAAAGCACAAACACTTTGACCACAACCATTTAGAGAGATGAATACGTGTCTGCTGACAGCCACCAACAGGCAACAAGTGTCATTCCCAGCTTTCTAAAAGAGCTGTGGTTAGGTCTCATGTTTCAGGTGTGACATTTCACAGCTGGGTCGACAGTATTTAAGAGAAACTTAAGACTTCTCAGAATGTTGTGAAGATACAGAGCTGAACTCTGCCCACAATGGTAAACTCAAAGCCCAAAGACAACGCTTTGGTTAGGTCTCACACTCTGCGGTCTGTGTCGGAAGGCACTTCTTACTCGAGGAGGACAATGCAGAGAGCATTATCGTCACAGCGGTCATGAACTCAGTGACAAATGTCACACGCATGCTACAGAAAGCATTCACTGAAAATATCTGATGGGTTTTGTTTGTTGTGGATATTTCTTTGTAGTTTCTGTTGCTTGTGGATGGACAACAATATAAGATAGGTCTCTTTGGACACTGGGAAATACACTTAAATGAGAAGATTGACATCACTCTCATGTTTGTATGCTAAATATAAAGTTACCACTAACAGCTTGTTATCTTGTACCCATTTTCCACCAAAATTAGCACGTGTACACAAGTTTTTTAAACATGGGAAAGCCTGCTAAAACTGGACGATAGACTCTGTGACCATTGCCGGTAGACCAGAGCTGTAAACATGACACTGAAGCAGATGACTATGACTTTCTGGGTGTTTTTTGTTTGTTTTTGCTAGTGTGTCACATTCAATGTAACAGACAAACCAGAAAACAGGTTAGTGCCCATTTGTATATATATATATATTTGTATATCGAGCCCACGTAGGAAGTAAATAGCCTGACTAATGGGCCGTATATGGGATTGTCCATGGGTTCCATATTAGCCCCTTGCCCATTACCCACACGGGAAGGTCTACCCAAGTGGGCCCCACATGAGTTATGCTAGGGCTACCTGGGTACCAAGTGGATACCAAATGGGCATCTTATCTGGGGCCCACTTGGGTAAACCCACCCATACGGGCAGTTGGCATGGGGCCGATAAAGAACTTGTAGACAATCCAAAATAGGGCCCATTTTTAAGCCCATTAACTACCAACATGGACCCTACATACCAATAGCCATGTTTCCATCAGCCTGTTTAGATGCACATCTAGAAGTATCGCATCGGAAAATTATGACACCAAAATTCAAATTGAAATCCCCTGATTTGCAAAAACTAAAATACGATCGCTTTAGCCGGGTTTTGGTTGATTGAAAAAAAATGTTGATTCGCAAAACGGGGGACGGAAACAGTTATGTTTGAATTAAGTCTGACGTAGCACACCTCTCTCCATGGTGATATCAACACTCCGGGTCGGGAAGGCGGTAATGCATTTACAAGCTGGTTGCCAGCTGCCAGAAAACGTAGAAGAAGAAGAAGAAGAATGCGAGACTTGTTTTGTTTCCGGTTCTGCGGAAAACTCGCACAAGTTCATAGTTCTCACCAAAGTCCGTACATTTAATGGAAACACACAGGATTCGTATTTCTTTTAATGTGCATTTCCCAATGATTCGAATCACTTTTGGATGGAAACATAGCTAATGTTTACTGGGTAAACAGTAGAAAGCAGCATGGAGGCCAGTTAAAATGTCGGTGCAGACTAAATTTGGAACAATGTTTGGCCGCTGCTTGAATGGAGAAAGACGGTATTTTGTGGCAGCCTATCATTGCATTGCTGGCAAAGGGGCAAAACTTAGTATGAAAAGCTAAAAGCCGATCGGCTGGGGCTGATAAGTACCCGTGACTACTGCAGTCATTTGACCAAGGAGTAACTGCCAATTATAACCTTTACCATCAAACAAAAAAGCCAGATGTTAGCAACTTTTAGTGGGTTTTTGTGCGGTTGGAAAGGGACTTTAGTTAGCTTAGCGCAAAAACTGAAATGGGGTGAACAGCTAGCCCAAAAATCCACCTACCAGCACCTCCTAAGCACACTGACATGTTATATCTCATTTGTTTATTCTGTACAAAAACCAGTGTAAAAACAAGTTGTGGTTTTACAGGTGCAGGTGGATGGACTTTGTTAGCCTTAGCCAAAGCCATGCTAGCTGTTTCCCCATTTTCAGTCTTTATTCTAAGATAAGCTAAGCAAAGCACCTACTGGCTGTTGCTACATATTTAACGTACAAACATAATAGTGGTTTTGGATTTCTCATCTCAATCTTGACGAGAAAGCATATTTACCAAAATGTCTATTCTTTTAATGACTTTTGCCTTTTTTTTTGTGTATTTCACTGAGCACAGATTTTCTCAGTGAAACATTAATGCTAATATTTCTGTAAATTTAAATCTCGTATGAACATAGCATACCAGCAGGGCAAAAATTACCAAGATGTTTTGCCACAATAGGCCTTTGTGACAGCAAACAGTTCAACCTGTATTCATGCTAACGCTGGCTCTGTTGTGTTCAAGTGCTCCAGCTTGAGTGAGCCAACATGTAGGACACCAGGAACCTGAAATCCAAGCAGCTGGCCATCATTAATTTCATTAATTACACTGCACTTCCCACTGTGACAAGTCAAAATGTCCTCTGTGAAAAAGGCCTATCTACATCTTGCATAAGTCGCCCCATCAGATCACCAACATCTCCCTTCTCTACTTTTTGCTAATGAACCAGATACTGTATGTGAGGCTGGAGAGGAGCTGGGGAGCTATTAAACTCAAATAGCCCTGCTAGTGTAATGTAGGGTTGGCAGTTTAAAGTAGAGGCTGTGAGAAGGTTGCATTCGATCATTTCTGACATGACGGTCCACTCCTGTATCACTGAATTACACTTCTGAATGACTTTTTCCCTTTGCTGGTTGTAACCGATTAAGGGCTTTAGCTGATTCATCACTGCCATCAAAGTCAAGCTGCTCCTGTGTAAGGCATTGATCAATTTCACATTCTGGAGAGGGAGCGAAGTACAGTAAGTGTGGGAGGGTTATGTGTCAAAAATGGTGGCGTTTCTCTTGAAATGGCTGCTGAGGCTGCACAATGTTGGAACGAGCCACGTGTGATTTCATCAACTTCAGAACAAAAAGCTTTCTTAGCATTGTTTTACAGTGGGCCTTGGTGTGTTTGTACCTCAAACTTCTTGTAGTGCAATGATTTAAAAAAAAAAAAAAAAGAAAGAAAAAAGAAGGCGGTCCTGCTGGCTTCAACAGTAAAACAACAACATAAAACACTTTAAAACTACACTTACAGGATTTTTGGTGTGATCTTTGAAGCTACTGCTGCTGTCACACAACTCACACAGAAGAAGCTCCTCTTCAGGATCCTTTCTGTGCGCCACTCGCTCTACAGTTGACACTATAGTTTCGACAGGAAATGATATATTACACATGTCACTATACATATTTCTACATCCTCTCTACAGTGGTGGGTAAAGTGTCCAGTTTTGGTGGAGCAACTCTCTGTCATTGAAGGGGTCTCAGGCTGCAACTGGATTCACAGCCACTAGAGGGCGACGGCGCCTCTTCCTGGTGCTGGCTCTCCTCCTGCTCATCAGACAGAAAGCTGGGGAACGTCTGTGCTCGAGGGATAAAAGTCATTGTCAGGCCGCTTCCTGTGTGGGGAAAAAAAAAAGGATGGAGAGTCAGTGGAGCACTTAATTTTAGCAGGATCTGATTCACTTAACTGGACCTTACGTCAAAACAATATGTCCTGTTTTCTTCAGCAATATATTTATGGCACAACTGTTGCTTAGCTACTGTCCATGCAGAAATCTGTATATACAAATGAGGATTACAAGAATAATCCTGGCATTCTTCATTTATGCAAAATTATCTTTTCTGACGTGGGTGGTTCTCAGATAATACAAAAATATAAAGCCTTAGTTCATGGGAGGATGATGAGAGAATGGGCACAGATATGCAAAAGGCCACACCATCTCTTACAGAGGCAAGACACAGACTTTGTGGTGGTTTTGCCTCTTTTTTGTGTCTTTTTGTGGTCATTTTGAGTCTCTTTCTGGTTGCGATGTGTTAATTTAAGTGACATTTCGCAGGTGAAGGCCCGTGACACTTTGGGCTCCCGGGCCTGTCAGCTCGTTCAATAATCCATCCATGCCTAAGATGCACAATAGCCTCAGATGTGATGGAAAATCACCCCCGAATAAACAACCTCATTCCAGAGTGATCTACGCTGTCTCATCTTTTTTGGACTGTCTGCCATCTCCCCTCTTTCCCCTGCTCTCTCCCTCTCCACCTTAATTTTAATTAATTGGACCAATTTGTTCTGCAGTTCATATTGGTTAACTGCACTGAGAGGGAGTAATGGATACTTGTGGGTGGAGGGCCGTTCTGTGCAACTGTGAGACCATTAATAATATATTAGGATGCTGTTTGGAGATGTGCACGGCGAGGTAGGTTGAGGATAAAGTGGCTGGCAGGCTGCTGATCATGCACCAAACAAGGAGGAAGTGGCCTGTGATTAATATTTCAGGAGGTGCAAAAGCTAACACAACAGCGTTATCAACTCTAACCTATAGCATATATGGTGCCTACTGATACAGCTGGCTGCGAGGAGCTGCTGCGTGTCAATACGTTTCAACTCAGTTTACCTCCGGAGGTTAATTGAAATTTGATTAACAAATTAAAATTTGACTTTGTTCTCTGTAAGCCATCTTCTTCCGGGGCCGCATCGACAAAATTGACAAAGAGATAATTTTCTCTTCTGCTGGAAGTGTTTGTTAACAAATATGATTTTAAGCTATGCAAATCATTCCTACTACAGTATAGCGAACACACACACACACACACACACACACACACACACACACACACAGTCTTTTCTGTGTGTGTGTAGCCAGCAGCACCAGTCATGCTGCCACCAAAGGGAGTCAGGCTCAGACCAGGAGACGCACTGCCAACTCACTACGACGTGGAATATAAAACATGACCCAGTCAGCCTGGCAATCAATGTCAAGTGGCTGTGTGAACGCGTGTCAGAGCCACAGAGAGTTGAACAAGAAATGCGTGTGAGGAGAAGTAGTAGTCGACTAAAACGAAGACAACGAGAAGGAGAAACACAGAAAAAGCATTTTCCTGTGCGAGTTCAGGGAACAGCTTGCAGGAGGAAGCACAGAGGGGCTGGTGTGGGCGTGAGCCTGAGACCACAACAGTACCAGCCATAACAGGTGAGTCATACACACACACCTCTGTCCCCTAGTCTTCCACTACTCCCTGAAATAAAGAAAAATAAGATAAGGCTCCAGCTTAAGGTTTTAAATGCAGCTCAGTTCATGTTCTGGAGAAAAACACTGCAGGTTAAAAAAAAAAAGGGGGGGGGACACTTTCTCTCCTCTCCACGTTGTGCTTAATAGATTGCTGAAACAAGTGGTGCGCAACCAGGCATATCCTTTTCAAATCTTTGCCAAGACAATCCCTCTCCCCAACCAAGGCCAATTTGGGCTGAAAAAAAAGAGGCAGGGAGCTCAGTGCAGACAGAGCGGGCAAAGCAGATCTCATCATCTCCTCGGCCATAAACAGCGGCGTTTGTGCGATGCCAGACCCCCGACGAGTGCCACAGTTTTTGGACGCAAATGTAGACACGCTCACGAGGAAAAAAATAGTAATAAAAACGCAGAGAGGAGATGGTGTCAGCATCCCTCCTCCTCTTCTATCCCTATGAGAAGCAGACAGTGATTTGTCAGTGCCTTTTCATTACCAGGGAAGGTCATGTCATCCTATCTGGCCTGGGGTGGCAGCTGCTGGGCTGGAGCAGACAGGACAGGCAGGGAAGGCACTCACACACACACATACACGCACTGACAGATACAATAGTGGACCTGGACACACAAGCAGCTATTCATGCAAGCATGTACACACACACCTGTCTGCACCTTCCTTCACAGTGCGATAACCCAGATGGCATCCTAGTAACAGCTGTAACCAGAGAAAGAGGCTGCGTGTCTCATGAACTCTGGATTATGCAACGCTGCTGACATCCAGCTTTGTGTCGTTTGTGTGGTAAACCAGCCAAAGGGGCAACAATACAGTATAAAAGATCACTCCAAGTGCAGCCTTAAAGGTCCAGTGGGTAAGATTTCAGGGGATTTAGTGGCGTCGAGCAGTGAGGTCTGCAGATCACATACACCCGAAAGAATTCCTTCAGTGTTCATTGTTCGGGAGGTTTTTTACCAGGCACCAAATTATCAAATCTAACACACAGGACCTTAAATATTGGGTCAGTTAATATCATCCCCAAATCATGCAAGACGAGAGCTGAGATTAAAAACTTTCCAAGCATCCGCCAGGAAAGAGACCAAAACACTTGAACTCAGTTTTACCTGGCTGCGATGAATTTTTCATGCGATTCACTTTTCCTTGCATCTACATCGACTATATTCCTTGTCGCCTGTTGCAGATAAGATAGTGTTATCATCCTGTTCTGCTATCATCTTGTCCCCGTGCCTTTGATACTTGCTCCCTCTCTGTAAAAAAAACCCTCTTGTATCACTCCCAGCCGATCAAACTAAGAACAGCGCTCCATTCCATTAGAATTGCTAATGCTACGGCACTAAACTGCGGAGCACAATGAAATGCAGGGAGAGAGCGAGAGTGTGTGCGAAATGGCAAAAGATTACATAAAAATGGGTCCAAGAAGAAATACAAGCATTCTTGTCCCCTTTCCATTCCACTATTAGAGCTGGTAATTGAACCATTTCCGACAGGCGTGGTGCCTTGCTTTTTCAACTCGCGAAAACTTTAAAGTGCACTTATTTCTATGCATCAGCAAACTCGGAGAACACAGCAGTATCACTGAAATGCAAAAGAGTGAATAACATTAGGAGAGTAGAGGTGGAGCGCGGAAGAAAGTCGAAACATTGTCTTAGTGTGTAGTTTCTGGAGATTAAAACATCCATCTTTGGTTTTACTTAATTAGGTGAGCTCTGTGGGGGAGTTTTGTTTCATACAGCCACATGATCAAGGCTGAGTGTTAGTTTTTTTCCGCACCACATCCCCCTCTGTTTCTCTTAAACAAAACACATTTGACAATTATTACTTTCAATTACGGCAAACAAGGCTTTTGGGGATGTATTTTTTGAGACATTTCCAAACAAATGAAAAGCAGATGTGAAATATATTGAAATAAAATAAAAGTTACAGTAGTGTACTTCACTGCCAGGTCCCCCGTTAACTGAGGCAAAGAAATAAACAAATAGGTGGATAAACCCTCGACGGGACAGGAAACTCTGTTCCTTAATTATTCCCCCGGACCCGCAGGGTATTTGAAAGCAACCCGAGCATGACTCAGCAAATTGACTGTGCTGATTGGATATTCATCATGCACGCAGTGATACAGCCAAGGAGCAAAGGCAGCCAGCCATCGTGATCTGAAGTCCTGATTTCTTACCTCTTTTTGCACCCAAATCATTATTACAGACAAATAAATGAATCTGAATTCCTGTTTAACTGTTGCTGTAAACTGGAAACATCATATTTTCACAAGGTGCTTTCCTTGAGGAGATTTGCAACTATATACTGCATACTTAGACTGAGACTGTGGGGCAAAGTTATCTTTATCTGTTTGTTTTTGTGTCTTTAGTGTGGATTTGTGCCGGTGTCAAAAGGTTTTCCTGTCTTTTTCACTCTGCTCTGTTCCCTGACATCAACAGTGTTTCTGTATCTGCTTAATTATTAATTTCAGTCCAACGTTTCAGTTTAGTTGATGCATTATCAATCAGCTGTATAAATGACACAAGCTTGTTTAGTTTGTATAATGGTTTCATAGGATTATGATCTGTGGAAAAGTGTTCACCCTGCTGTAAGTGTGTGTGTGTTGTGTGTGTGTGTGATGTTTTTCTTTGTTGTTATTCTGCCTGGGATGTTGGAGTAGATCAGCTGCTCAGCAGCTCAATCAAGCATAGTGCAAACAGGTTTGTCTAATTACGTCCTCTTAGCAGGGAGGGGCTGGGCTCTGTTAAGTGTAGGAAGATATACACTCTTCCACTTTATTAGGTACACCTGTTCCACTGCTCGTTAATGCAAATAGCTACTCAGCCAATCAAGTGGCAGCAACTCAATGCATTTAGGCATGTGGACATGGTCAAGACGACCTGCTGAAGTTCAAACTGAGCATCAGAATGGGGAAGAAAGGTGATTTAAGTGACTTTGAACGTGGCGTGTTTGTTGGTGCCAGACGGGCTGAGTGTGATCTACTGGGATTTTCACACACAACCATCTCTAGGGTTTACAGAGGATGGTCCCAAAAAGAGACAATATCCAGTGAGCTGCAGTTCTCTGGGTGAAAATGCCTTGTTGATGCCAGAGGTCAGACGAGAATGGCCAGACTGGTTCAAGATGACAGAGAGGCAACAGTAACTCAAATAACCACTGGTTACAACCAAGGTCTGCAGAAGACCATCTCTGAACCAACAACACGTCCAACCTTGAAGCAGATGGGCTACAGCAGCAGAAGACCACACCAGGTGCCACTCCTGTCAGCTAACAACAGGAAACTGAGGCTACAGTTCACACATTGTTGGGGAGTAGAGAGAGACATGTAAGTGAATTTGTAACTACATTTTGGGATGGCTTGTTGGTATTTCAACTGCATTCAACT